GCCTCGGCGGCGATGGCGGAGAGGGCATGGTAGGAAGGGGATTGTTCTTTGGTGGGCGGCGATGGAAGCAGGGTCTCAGCGTACTTGGGGAAGAACTGGGTGCCGTAGGGGGAGTTAAAGCATTCCGGCAGGACGATGAGAGAGGCGCCGGCTTTGGCGGCCTCCAGGACTTTGCTGCGAGCGTGGGCGAGGTTCACGGCCTTATCGGCGCCTGGTTGTTGTGGGTTAGGGAGTAGGTTATGGATCTTGTTGAAAGTCAATTTGACTTACCCGAGGCTAGTTGCACGAGAGCAAGCTTCAATGGTTTCTTGAGGAGAGATGCCATGGTGGTTGTGTATGGGAATGGGAGCAGAAGAAGATGGTTGTTGGTGGTGGTGGTGATGGAAGGGAGATTGAGGCGATTGCGGGGGAAGCGGCTTTCGCGCCGAGCATCTGCCGACGTGCCGCATTGCGCTATCCTATCTATGCTAGTTATCTACGGAGCTCTTCTACTCCAAATCGCTTATCAACATCCTCCCCACCAACTACAAAACACACCCGCAATGATACACTCCAACGAGATGTGTGCAGTATACATTGTGCCCTATGCTATGCTTGAGACTCAGATGTCGCAGCTGGCTCATCGAGTCTGCAAGTAGGCGATGATGCAACAAAGAAAGAACTTGACCGTGAGTGTAGCTGGGTTCAGACACAGCCCCAAGCCAGGCGCTTGTGCTAACAAGATCGCAGACTATGGCCGATGTGCTAAAACAAGGAGGCTGGAGTATAGTCAAATGGATAGACTACCATGCTGCTCCAAAGGTATGACTGACAATCAGTCACAAACGTCATCTGCCCTTTGTGCTACATTGCCCTACCAGATCGGTGCTAGCTACATTCCTCCAGACGCTCTTTCAGAGATGAACGTAAGGCTGCCATTCTGAAAGCGTGAGAGCAACTCTTCAAGAAAATTTGTCAGGAATGCACTACCAATCCTATGACGCAATTTGCTTTTATGTCCCCCATGAATAGAGTTATGCCCTATTTCTGCCATCGGCACAAAGTTAGACTCGCGTGAGGCTATACACTCGGCAGTTGAATTTCGCAGGAATGTGACATGCATGCGGCCAGGGCACACTCGAGTATACACATCCACCATTATTCACCAATGCGCATCCTTTCCGATTCTAAGGCTGTCAACACACATCCGGAAGATCGGCCCTGAGGAAACTTCAGCGAGCGTGGTGTTATTTTAGGAGTATGTGCATTGCTCTGCTGCACCTGGCCTCAAAGGAGTAATAGTCAACGCTTCAGGAAGTACTCAGCTTCAACTAGAGTCGAACTATCTACAGTTTCCGGACAGCGATGGTGTTTATAAAAAGGCGAATGATAGCTTCTTTTGCCACTCATGAAGTCAACCCATTCGAATCCATTGAGCTCAACGCAGATCGTGCCCTCGTCCTTACTAGAACAACGAATCCTTGTCACTCAAGACCTCCCAACCTTGCCACCTCTTTTTTTGAATTTGATCAAGCATCATCATGCCATCCCTTCGCTCCAACGCCTCTCTATTGGGTCTTCTGCTGCTCCTGAATGCCTTCTGGACCATCTCTCTCGTGGCAGCCCGTCCAGTGGTACTGCAACGTGACACCAACCAGGTAGGACCACGCCATGTGATTGTCATTGCGGTATCACTCGCTTACAGCCGCGTGCCAGACTGATCACTCAGTCGACATTGCATCGATCAATGCTCGGTTTCCACAGAATGAGCACCCAGCTGGGAGAGTCAACCCTGCCGATGACGCCTTGGACACAATCCAATCTATGACCAAGGCGAAAAGAGATGGCACAGACAGCTCTGACACCGACGACGACGACAATGTCATCAAGCCGTCTGTCACTTACTCCTTACTCGGCAAGGTTTCTACCATCATCGATCATCTGCGGCACTGAGAAGTCTCTCCTTAGCCTGAAACAATGCGACGGGACGCCAATTGGGGGCTGGGAGTTCTTGCAATGCAATTTAGAGTCTACATTGAAGTTTTGATAGAGGCATATCAATTTGCAAATCAATTACTATTGCTTTCATCTCTAATCCTTCATGCATGACTATACCTGTTTCCCAGTATTCAGCTTCATGCTCTTAGACAAGGACATGTGGTAAAAGATGCGTTGTCTTTGAAAATCATAGTGACTCTCGTGCACGGACGCTCTGAGAGCGACCCGTGAACACGATGAAGGACGAGTATGTCATCATCAGAAGGCATACGGTTGCGACTCGCGTGTACAGTACGCGTGCTATAAGGACCCACAGCGGGTTCTTGACGCCCGACGTTCAATTCTCATCATGGCACAGTTACATATACGTATACTTATCTTTTTATTATCTGATGGCCAGCCTTAGGGTGGTCAGAATGACACTCCCTTTCAAATCCCAAGCCTGGGGACTGTTTTGGCGCATGTAAAGCGCACAAAGACATTGGACTTGATATTTCGAGCATCCAGCAGGGCGAGTCAACCATCCCCAGAACGCGTCAAACAAGGCCAAAGCAAGTTCCACTCGAATGAACTTGCTTCTTTACGCTTTACTAACTTATGAAGCCGTCACTAGTTAGTACGGAGTACTCTTTCCGACAAGCCGACCTCGGCCAGACACCTCCGCCCGCCTCCCCCCCCCCACAGTGCGTGGAGACTCACAAAGAAAGAGTCGTTAGCGAGTGATGGATCCCAAACGACAACAATCCTCCGTAACGTTTGTAAATGCACAGGGACAAACGAGTGAGTGCTCTTCGTCGGCAAATACTCCGTAGTCCAAACCCCCGTAGGATCACTGCCATTGGAGTACTTAGAGCCAAGCCCAGCCGCAAGCATGACTCGTCACGGAACCGTTTTACGACAGATCGAAATGTCAGGGGAATCGAAAAAGGGTCGAGACTGTTTAGACGGCCGTAGACTAGGTTAAACTTCTCACGAGTCACAGATCTTCATTCATCCTCGGACCGAGAAGGGAAGACGGAAAAGCTGAAGAGAGATTCTCCGGGTCTCCCTGCAAGCAAATGCCCCTTGTATGGATTGACATACGCTAGACCTAAAGGGACGGACATCTCCGACTAGGTTCAGTGCCGGAACGAAGAGCGTAATTTAGCTTGGAGCCTTGGAAGTTGGGACTTGGGAAGGGGGGGGGGGAACCGAGACGCCTCTTCAACCCCAATGTAGCTAAGGCTGGTGGCGACAAGGGTCCAAGAATCCAAGACAGGCGTGGTTGATCGAAGGCCTTTGACTGGGACCGGAGGAATCGGTGCCGTGTTCGAGATTACTACTCGAGTACGGAGTACACACCCAGTGGCGACTATGGGGGACTTAACGCCCTGCCCTGTCTCTGTTTCGGTTTGGGGATGATCGGCTTTTGCTTCCTGATCTCGTGAAATTCCGATCGAGATCTATGAGCAAGGGTGGTCAGAGAGGGCGAAGAGAATGCCACTTAGGTATAATGTACTCCGTTTTTTTCCTCAGGAATTATGGTTTCGGAGTCGCCATTGTGATAACAGGGATATTGAGGCAAAGGATATTAGTCTAGTTCGTGTTCATCAACAATAATAGTATTATTGACAAGGGATAAAGGAAAGGCCAGTTAGTTCTTCAGAGGCCAAAAGACCCAAAGAACCAAAAGGCCCAAAAGCCCAAATCGCCGCCGGAACCCGATCCGGGGCAAAATGGCGAATGCAGCAGGCGGTCAAATGGGAATGATTCCTTCCCTTCTTCAGTTTCATCTTTCATCCTTTCTTTCCCCGACTTAAGTTATTCAATTCATTTCATTAATGAAGAATCACAAAAAAAGGGGGTGCAATTTCATTATAAAGCCCTTTGATATGCCTCCAGGTTGAAGAGGCCCAGGGCCTCGACTGCTCTAGTCTCCCCTATCTGTCTCCTTTCCCATTCTCAAGATTCCTGTTTTTTTATCTGGCCCACTTATGTGTGTCTTGTTGTTTTTTCCACCCCACGCCATCATCCAAGGTTCGGCCCTCCCTTTACGTTTACGCGCTGGATCCGTCCGACCCCTCTTAGTGATGGCTATTACTTTTTTCTTTTACGCGAGAAAATAAGGAAATACAATCCGCCCCTCTCTTCCAGAATCAGAATCGAAAAAGAAAATTGGCCACTGTGGGACCAGACTTTTTTCTTTTTGCTCTAGTCTTATAATCTCGGGTCCAGGCACAAACGCGCGCGCGATCTCTTCTTCCGACCCGTCGTGCCTTCTTCCACCCCCCCCCCCCCTATCTGTTCATTTGTATATCCTCCTCCCATGTCTCGATAACTTGAGCCTCCACCAAACACCAACACCACCACCACTTTTAAACCCCATCAGCCTCGGAACACATCACTCCCCAGGTTGTTCGAGGAAATTACTTCTATTCAGGAGATCAGAACGGTGCCACTTTTGATTATCCTCCACTCGTTTCCCGGACAGCGGTGTCGCCATCATGTTCGAGGACTTCTCTTTCTCCTCTCCCTCCTCCACTCGGCCTCCCCGCTTGGCCTTGGACAGCGAAGAATATCAGCGCCTCACTCTCGATCATGACAGTGGATTAATCTCCCCCTTGTCCTCGCGCTGTCCGTCACCACGCTCGTCAGCGCAGCGCTTCCCCCGGACCCTATCTCGCTCGCGATCCTCCTACTCCCGGGGCCAGGCTCAAGCTCCCACCTCCGTCCCTTTCTCCGCATACGAGAAGCGCTTCTCCATCAGCACCCTCACCAAGAAACTTCACGAGCACACCCTCCAACACCAGTCCGGCACTGCGGGCGCAATGCCCAGCGATGACCGCTTCCCCGATGCACCCATCTCCCCCACCTCCCCCTCCGATTTCCATTTCAGTAGCAACAACCCCAAACTCTTCCCTGGCTACGTCCTGACACCCCCCGACACGGATCTCGACGATGATTCCCACACTTCCGGATCTCTATCGCCGACGTTCCCCCCGTCTTCCTCCTCTCCATACCTGAATCCGACCTCCGCCCCCGCCGCCTCAGACAGCCACAACTACCCGACCGACACGACCCCAATGGATCTCAACGCAGACGACCAGGAACAAAACTACACGACCATGCGCGCGCAGCGCCAACACATCTCGCGCCTGCAGTACTGCAACCCCACCGACCTCGAGGCTATCCGCTTGGCCCTGATCTCCGAGGACGAGGCCCTGCGCACCGCCGTCTCGCACAGCTACTCCACCTGTGAAGACGACTGGCACCCCAGCTCGCTCCCGCCGCAGTCGTCCCCGCGCCGACGCGCCCTGACGGCGTCGCGGGGCAGTCGGTTCCGCCCGGCCACGGAATCGATCTCCTCCACTTCCTCCGTCCCATCATCCTCGTCGCTGGCGGAATACACGCGTTCCCGGAGAAAGAGCAGCGTCAGCGCGCTGCAGTCATCCCATCGGATCGAGAAGAGCTATCAGCTCGGCTCCACCCGCGACCTGCAGAAGAAGAGCGAGCAGGGTCTGCGACGAAAGAGTCTCGTCAGTGCAGCGCTGGCTTCGATGGTTGAATAAGGTCGTGCTTGTCTCCTGTCTTCCTGAGAACCAATGTCTATCTCTTTTCTTGGGGTATATATGTCCAACATCCTTGAGCGAGGTGCATACCATTTATCGCTTCGATACCTGCTTCGATTCTCCCCTTTCTCCATTTCCCTTTTTTCCTTTTATTTCACTTTTCTTTTCTGAATCACTTTTCTTGCACTATATCCGGGTGTACATTCTTCATCTTCATCTCTGTTACTATTGCCATCTATCTTCTTTCAGGGTTTGGAATTGCTTGTGCATTGTGTGCATATCGAAAGAAAGATACCCAGACTGTCTGCTTGGTTGCCTCGGACGTTCTATTCCTTTGTTTGTTTTTTGTCTTTTGGTGCATTCATGTTGGTGCGACCCTCAAATTCGGTTATAGGGCACTTCTTTTATATATCTTCAATTGCACATCTTCATACATCATAAACATTCACACACCACTGCACCGCCTTCGCTTTCCAAAGTAGTCGCTAATATGTAGCACGTGAACCATCTTAAAATGTACACACCGTGCTGGCAAACACAACCTCTATTTGATATATGCCCTTGTCAATGAGAAAAACAATGCTGGGTCCTGTCAAAGGCCCTAATCTAAATGGACAGGCAGGGGTAGGCTAATAGCCGAATTCGCTCGGAGTGACATAGAACACAAACAGACAATCCTTGCTCAGAGGAAACCATGACGGCATGCGCTCGCGCATGTGACCGGGAGTATCAAATGCCAAATAGGAAACAACGCTATGCGCAAAAACTTAGGGAGGAGGGCCGAATGAATAAGAATGGGTAGAAATTCACTGCCGCTTTCGCTGGAGCATGTTATATAGTCGCTTCAAGGGCTTCAGAGGCCCACTGCTCCCCGGTTTGACGTTCTTCTTACGACGGTCGGTTATTTTGGTTATACCGCTTTGGATGCGGATCTCCTGCTGCTGAGGCAGGGCCAGATGGGAGATGAATGGGGATGGGCAGAGATTGTGTGGAGAGGTTGGATTGGAAAGGAGTGGGTGAGGGTGACCCTGCCCCTGGTCGACCCCATGGGGTCCGTACCAAAGATTAAGATCATAGTAGGCCGCCGCTGGACCGGGTAAGGAGGTCGGATGGCTGTCGCTTAGGGAGTAAGGGGAAGGGGTGGGCAGTGGGAATTGTACGTGAGACCGACAATCGCCATCTTCCCGGATCGGGGAGCCCGGCTCCCCAAGGTCACTCTCGCCAGTCCAGGCCCGCGGTCTGAGCGGCGCCGGTCGCTTACGCGTGCAAGCGGGCGAGCGCGAGTAATTTGAGGCCATGTCGTCGGCGTCCTCGCGTTCCAGACGCTCCGATATCGACGGCATGGGAAGATGCGGCGAGTCGCCAACTAATTCGTGGTGAACTTGCTGGGAATCCTGCTCCGAGCACGGGTCTGCGTGGTCATCCCCAGGTTGGCTTTCAGGACTAGGGTCCACTTCCGTCTCATTAATCACCTCGATGTACGACTCGCGATGATGGCCGCTGGATGCTCGAAGAGAATAGGCATCGACATCTTCGATAAAAGACACGATCCGGGCAAAGTTCAGCGACTCGTGCGGATTGATGATCTCGAATGACGTGCCGTGATCAACAATGGTCGCTGTGGTTTTCTTCATGCTCCATAGGATGGAGTCGGAGCGGGTCCTAGTGTGCCTGCGGGTGAAACATTCCGGATCTGTGCCTGGCTCGGGATAGCTCTCGAGTCTGTCCCGGAATGTATCCTGATCGCATACCTACGTCAGTTGGGAATGCAAGGCTTTGTCAGGACCTTACTTACCAGAAGCCTGTGCGGATTCTCTCTGGGAAAGGTCGCGCTCAACGGCGCGCTCAACGGCGCAGGCATAGCAACATTTAGTGACACTGGGCAACTTGTTAGCCAGTCTGGCACGCCCCCAGATGAGCAATAGTGGGGTGTCGTCTGCTTACGGCCAAATCCGTGCGGCATGTCCGGATCTTGGTCGCTCCGCGCGCTCGGGGAGTAGGACGGCGACAATGGCGGCGGACTTGACCCTGGAGACGACATGGAGAAGGGAGTGCTTAGGGGAACAGAATCGAGCTGGGTCTGGTTCAAATGCAGAGCGGCGTTTTTCCGTCTGAGGAGTTTTCCGTCCTGGCCATCGATGAAAGGATCGCTGTCCGACAGTAGTTTGCGGTAATTGTGTAGCGACAGGTTTCCCGCGTATCCTGGTGGGTATATGGCAGGGTTTGAGGCGAGTAACTGCAATGGGTCAGAGGCTGGTGATGTCGATATATAGTGTATAGCATCTGGGTGGTGCGGAGATCCATGGTAGGGAGAGCCGACGTCGAGAGCCATCGCCATGGTAGATCGGAGGCTCGTGCCTTGATCTAGGTCGGGATCAAGCGAGGGCAAGTATAGAAGATGAATGGGAAAGAAGTACAATTGCCCGGGACATGAGAGGATAAGAAGATGTGAACTCAGAGCTGTTGATTGCTGGCATTGGGGAAGTGCAGATCTTCTCAATCGGTTGACATCACCAGTCAGTGCAATTGAGATGATAACAAGACAAGACACCAACACCTACCAACACCTACACCAACAGCAACAATTGCTGTCCTTCGAAATGAGCGGAGTATCAACAAGCACCGCGGATCGAAGCGAGACAGAATGTCTCAAGATGGACCGATAGCGGTTCGAGATGGAGCAGTGTCACGGTTGCACGAGAACAGTGCCGGAGAGTGATCTAGATCGGTTATGCGGGCAGACAGCAAGTCACTCCTGCTTCTCACCAGCCCATCAGCATATTGCACTACCTATCAGCACCTGAATGGTCTAATAGAAGAGGAAGAAAAGGACAGAGTTGCAAAGGTCCAGTTGAAAAGAATGGCAGGAGCGAGTGGAGGTTAATGCGAAGGAAGAATAGAGGAGAGAAAAAAATAAAGAAAGGAAGAAGCAGCTTGCTTGCTTGCTTGCTTGCTGCGGCTGCTGCTGCTTCTCTGCAGCAGTGCAAAGACGATCACTTAATGGGCTCTTTTCATGGCCAGGTCAAACTGCAGGTTGACGTGCATGGGACACAATGACCAATGGATGCAGGATCTAAAGATACTTCGGTTGCGGCGTCATCTGCCAATCCCAGTTGGGCAGCAACCGTACTTGTCCACGGTGTATGCTGTACTAGGTAGGTACCTCCCGGGTACATCAGACCACCACCGAATTCCTCTGGGACAGCCAAGTCATTTCCGAGTATTCCTCCATCCATTCCTCCCAGATCGTGTTTCAAACCCTTTCCATTCCCAGGTCAATCGTCGCTTCAACCTTGACTGAGACAAAGAGCCGGGGGAATTCTCATTCGCCCACGCAGCGCAGGCCTCATCCTCTGCCAACAGCCAATGATCGGGGAGAGTGTGACTGGTTTCATGTCGCCTACAAATCCTATACATCCAATCACACACATCAGATGTGGCTGTGGCAATGGCAATGACCTGTCTCTTTGCTTTGCATTTGTGCTGACCGTTTCTTCGGCGCGTTGAATCTTACCGTCAGAAGAACTCCTCGCACACAAGCCAAGACCAACAACATTTAGTATTTTCGAGGTTGTAACTTTTAGAGACAGTGAGTGCACGAACCATAAGGTACTCTGTACTCTGCACACCACCACGACCACACCTGTCCCCAATCTTCGTCTCTGATTTCAAAAGGCTCTCAAAACCACCACCATAGACTTGAGTCGCACTTCAATCGCACACCAATTCAACTCAGTGCCTTCCCAATTCCATCTTCGCCACATTCCACAAAACCCCCGCTTTCTTCAACTCAACGATAAGCGAGTCCTACCTACCTACTCGTAACCTGTAAGGCTTTCCGCACAACTATGCCTACACACGAACACACACATATCCCCCGTACAGTCCAAAACAGAGACCATCCGTTCCCCTTCCACTCAAACCCATCTCATCCCATAGCACGCCCAAAGAATCCCCAAAGTCGAGTGAGTGAGTGAGCATCTCTCATTCCGACAAGGCAGGCAGGCAGGCAGCTGATCCGAGATATCTATCAGCCTAAAGAGCTTAGTTTAGTTTCAGGAATGAATGTTACTCATAGTTATCAGCTCCCATGACGAACTACCCCCCCCCCCACCCCACCACAATCCCCGGAAGTACCAGCATGATGGTACTTACTGTACTGTACATACGGGGGTGTGGATTGCCTCCTTCTCTACCTCCTTCCTCCCTCTACATGGCCGACTGTGGCAGTGACCATATGCCCATATGGGCCCATGCCCGTGCCCATCTTCTTGCATGTCCGGGTCATATCTACGTCCCCCCCTTCTCCACGCTCCCAGCGACATAAACCCACTTCACCCGTAGAACAGGGAACAGGGACTTCAGGTACGGCACCTAAGGGACTGGCCGGGAAGGAGTTTCATGCCTTAGTATAAAGGTAAATGTAAGCTCTGTGCACGGCTACGGCGTGGCCGTTGTTCATTCGCTGCTTTTCTCGCGCCAACCCATTCCCGCTGCGTAGGATGATGACTGGCTAGATTTGGCCGATGAGTTCCATGGTACTTCTTTTACCTTATAGCATGGTACATAATACATGTTCATGCTCCCTCATCGAAAATGAACGGTTATTGCAGGACCCTACGTATGTAAAGCCATATACAGCCATTCTTGTCAATCGGAGGGGAGGAAGAGAAAGCAAAAGGACCAAAGTGTATCTATCTCCTGAATAGCTTCGCATTTCTACAACCAGTCTACCAGTCCTTCGGCACCCCAAAAATCGTAGCCAATTTCAATGAAAATAATGACAACGAAGGAAAGAAACAAAAAGAGAGGAGAAAGAAGAACAAAAAAAAATTCCTAACACCGTCTCATGCTTCTTCTTCGATCCACGGAAAGCAAATATTTGACATGAAAGAGGAGGACAGAAAGCTAAATTGGAGTATCATTTGTCATGGCCGTCATAAGAGAGGAGAAAGAAAAACCAGAATATGAGGACAAATCCTTGCAACCGCGTCTAAATCTCCGGGTACAACCTGCCTACAGCTCATAAAGATCCTGCCACTAGTGGTCGTGTTGTGATTATATGTACTAGTTGCAGCTGCTTCCAGGTATGACCTGAGTATTGGAGAGGGAAAAAGAGCCATGCTCGAATAGTGAGAATCTGGCTGCCGTGCAATCGTGGTATCAAGCATCCATGATATCAAATTAAAATTAGTCGGAATGTCGCGTGAAAGTCGTTTTAATGGCGTTTGTATTTCTGCAAAGGTGGCGGGTTAGTAAAGAGAGTCCAAGATATCCAGTAATCAAGTCCAAACTTACGTCTTCCATCTTGCGGCGATTGCTAGGATCGAGAGTGTTGCCGGCACCTAGCAAGGTCTGTCCCACAGCCTTGGTAACACCGATTGCAGGCCGGAGGATAACAGTCGGCGCACGCTTGAACACTGCTTTGGCAGCAGCCTTGGCACTTCCGCTCTCCAGCACCTCGCCAGGAACCGCGACAATGGCATCCCGTGCCGTCAACAGATCACGCTCTAGGCCTCTAAATCCGCCTCGGAGACCCTGAGCAACTCCAAGTGGTTGGTCAGCATACAGCGAGATCTTCTTGGCATCTTCATCGTCACCGAAATCGTCTTCTTGGCCCGCGGTCGGTACATTAGGGCTGGACAACAGATCCTCGGCACCTTGCAACACCGTTTGAGTTCCAATCGCAAGCTTGGCTCCCAGTTTGATCAGTTCATGAGAGGTGGTCTTAGCAAACGCCAAGGCGCCTTTCTGGATACTCCGAACAATACGGCCGTCCTTCTTGTATTCGCGCATGGGCACCATAACCAAGTCCTTCACGCCTCCACCCACGTTGACCAGTGACCTGATGGGGGCCAGACCAGCCAGAACTCCCGGTAGCTGATTACTCTTGATATCGGGCATCCAGATGTCATTGAGTGTCTGGCCCAACTTATCGAAACCAGAAACACCGTAAATGATGACATGCCGCATCACCATATCTGCTCCGTCCAGCACAAAGAAGTTCATGAACTCGGTAGTACGACCCGATCGAAGACCAGCATAGTCCACCCGCTTGGGCTTAAAGTCTAGTTTCACTGGCACAGCATTAATTTCAGCTCGTTGCAGGAAGGGGACTTCGCTTGGAGCGGTCGGCGTCGGTGCAGTGTCATCCCTGAACTCAAAGAATCGGCAAATGAAGTCCAAAGCGTCCTGGTCAACGTGCAATCGGAGAGGAAGTAAGGTCGCCTTGAGCACAATCTCAGAAGCAGCAAGTTCGGGCACAGGCCGGACCGTCAGAATCTCCAGATGCAACATACTCGTTCCACTCTCCTTTTCGCCGGCTTCATGCATATAGGTTGCAAATTTCTTCCATGTCGAGGTAGGCACATGGTCGAAAATTTCCACATCGTCCACCCGAACATCCAAGGAGCTTTGTGTTTCGTCCAGGCCAGGCGGAAACACGACTAGATCTGCGCAAATCCCTTTCAGCTCAAAGGTCATTTTGTGGTACTTGCTTCGAGACAACCGTAGTTTCTTTCCCCGTAACGAAGGCGATTGACTTTGTCGCACAGTCGCTCCAGTGACAGTTGTAGTGGTCGCATAGCTTCCTGTTTCACTGACAAGGTCATCGATGTTGCGATTGATATCATTGCGAATCTCTCGAGGATCTTTGTTGGCGGGAACCCCGATGTAAATTGAGTTGAAAAGGCAGTCTCCGATAACGGATTCCTCTTCCTCATCAAAGCTAGGGGAAGCTCGACTGCCGGTGCGGGCACGGCGCTCGGTGGCCTTTCTTTCAACCTCTTTTACCGCCTTCGAGATCGTATCCCTTGTTCGTTGCCAGTCATAGCCATCAAATAGATTCCAAATGACATGAGCGTCACGTACTCTCACCCTCAAGGGACTCCTTTGGAGCTTCGAGTCGTCTGAGAGACCATATGTATTCTGCGTTGAATCCCACCTATGCGCTGTGCCCCCAACAGCAGACTTCTGCGCGAAGTGGTCGTCACGAAAGTCAAGATCAGAGATACTTGCCGAGACATGATACTGCGAGTGGAAACTGTCAAGCAGTTCGCTCGAGCCCGTTGCCAAGCCGGCCCCAGGCAGAGCACTCTGTTCGGAGCCCACGCTCACATATTCAATTTCATCATCCAATATTTCCCCTGTGTCTTGTGTTTGTTCCAAAGAATCAGGGCCGGTGGCAGTAGCATCTTCCAATTGGTCAGTCACAAAGGCGTCCCCAGTGAAAGATGCTAGCATGTCTTGGATTGGAAGAACCTCGGTTCGATATTTCGTAACCACACTTGGGGGAGTGGGCGGCTGCAGCCCATTCAAGATACTGATAAGAGTCTGCGTGGAATCAGCGCAGGTTTCCAGGATGAGCAAGTCGTCTTTGAGCTCCACATCAAGAGACTTCTCCCCGTCTTCACTCAGGCGCACAATCTTCACAGTAGCTGTGGCCGAAGATACAGTGCAAATGGAAACATAGCCCTTGTCAATGAAGGTCTGGATCTGGGCGCTTTGGGGAGAGTTCAGGTTTCGTTGGTGCAGATTATTTGCGAGATCCACGTTCTTGACATCGTCAATGACCAAGATTGACGCTTTACGAAGGTCCAAAATGGCCTCTGAGGAGACAACATCATGCATGGTACCGGAGAATTTAGCGTTCGTGAGGACAATGAGACCTTTCGCAGGAGTGCTGCGAGGATTGAGGCTCAGAACACAATCTCGAAGATCAACTGTCAATTTTGTGGGTTTTGTGGGAGTGTCCTGGCTTGACGCCTGATTTGACGCTTCCAGTTGTGCTGGCTGAAACTCAGGAAGATTGGCGATTGAGTTTGCCATGTTCGCAGCGACGTCGCCAGTTGTCAGCTCATCTCCAAGCCCAAGGAATGCGATGACGGAAGGAAGCGAGTATTCTGCACGGAGGCCATGTAGCTTGACCTTGATCGTAGGATCCATCTCATCCGCAATGAAACGGACCATGAGGACCGGCATTGTTGTGTCGTTTGAGAAGTATCCCTCTGCTCCAGGAAGTGCATCGCCGACGAGCTCCTCATCTTCGTTCCTCGCAACTTGTATGTGACCGATTTGAGCAGCCACAAGGGACGGAAGACTGATATATGCTGCTTCGGCATCCTGGAGCCTAGCTCGAATGACGCCTACCTTTCCACCAAGGTATGTTTGAACCTCAAACTCACGCAGTAAGATCAGAGTCAGAACTCCGGGTCTATCGTCTTCAGGCAAGTATTTGGCGACATTCGACAGTCGACTTATCTCGTCCGCAAGCTGCATAAGAGATTCCAAATCAGCGGTCCGAGATACGACAGTCTGCGTCCGGCCAACTGTGACACGAAGGACAGATCCCTGGTTACGCTGGCGGAATAGCGTGTCCAACATGATATCGTCATCTTCATCGTATTTATCTTTCGAAGGCGTGATCAACGCGAGAAGCCGATCCAGGTCGCGCTCTTTTGGAGCGAAAAGAAATTCAAATCTGATATCATTCAAACTCACAGAAGCGGGCGCCTCGCGGTTAAATTCGAGAGGCCATGGCCCGCTAAGTTTCGCCTTGTCAATCTGGATTCCCAATCCCTCAGATCTACTGACAACCTTTACTGCCGTTGTCCTGAGTTTAATGTAGTGACTTTCCCCGATGATGTTCAACGCAATGCCACCAATTCGAGCATTCACCTTGACCGGTACTGTTCCAGGTGATTGTGCAGTCGCCGGGGGAGGGCCACTTTCAAAGTGCACTCCGCGAGGACGCTTCGGTGTGTCCTTGCTCGGCCCCTTGCTCGAAGAACTAGATGAAATGGAGCTTCCAAGTTCCAGAATGGTGCTCAAACCGCCTACCCACCCTATGGCCTCTTCCAGGCGCTGGATGTTGAGATTAAGTTGTAAGGGAAGCGTCATGAGCTCAGCCGTCGTCGCTTTCGAAGTCATCCGAACCTTCACCGAGATGTCACCTTGGCTTGATGAAGTGACATCCCTAGTGGATTCGCGCATCTTGAGTTCTTCGCTGAAAGAAATCAGTTCCTCCTGCGCGAAGCCCACTATAAACTTGGCCACATCCAGATGTAGCGTAGTAATATTGTCGTTCGCGGCGAAATTGGCCTTGAAGCCCGAGATCACCGCTTGAAGCAGAATCTCTTCCTGATTTTGGGTGATGAACGCCGAGTCATTTTCAGGAGGATATGCATGCCCTGGGACGTGGTCGACGAATTTGATCGCGAAGCTATCAAGGGAGACTCGAAAGGCTTGCGCCACCTTTGATTCCTGTGGCGGACGATGTTCTCGTGTCATGTCATCAGCCGGATCAGCGAAGGTACTAAGGATTCTTTGTCCGACCTTGACAACAAGCCAACCGATTGCGATGTCGAATTGAATTTCTGCAGAGAATATCTCCAAACCAATGTGATCTCTCAATTTATGTTCATGCTGATTCATATCTTTGGCATCATTGAAAGGAGGAACAGCCGTGTTCGAATCACCGCGAGATCGCATCGACGAGTTTAATAAGCTGTCCTCGACTAGAGAGTCCTGCAGGTTAACTGCCGATTCCTTCAAGTCCTCATACGGGGCATGTCGATGTGGTCTTGTGGATTCGGCCTCATTATTTCCCTTGGTAGAATCGATAGATGGAATCGAAATCTGGATCCTATCAATACTGAAAAACTTCCTCGCAACGTCAGCCGACTTATGTTCTTCAGTTGAGACCTGAACAGACGGTCTCTCTTTCAGATCAAAATGAGAGTCATTGTCTGGTGGCTGTTGCTCAGTTGACTGTGATTGAGATAAATCTGGCTTAGACTGAGGTGTGAGTTTCGGTGTTGATACAGATGTCCCGTCATGGTCGTCGTGCTCATGTCCACCCTCTGAGCTACCCGGAACTGCGTTCTTTGCAACTGAGTCCCTCATGACCTGAGATTCAGAGGAATCCCAAGCACCGGGCATGTTCGGCATGAAACTTCGCGATGTAGAACCATGACTAATGGCACTCATGTACATGCTTTGTGCCTCGTCGTGGGAGAAGAGCCGAGACTCACTGAGATCGCCTTGATGGAAAGACCCAGATGTTGAGCTCGAACTGTCGGTCTCCGAAGATGGCGCGGATGTAGGTAGTGATGACTGAAATTGTGGGAATGGCTCAGGATTTTGATCATGTTCCGTGATGAGGGCAGGTAGCGTGGATCGGGTTTGAGGCGCACTAGAATCGGAAGAACGCGCAAGCCCATGTACTCCTGGCATTTGTGGCCTCGGTGCAAGAATCATGGCACTTGGTGTGTCGTGAGCTGGTTCTGTTGTCCCAGGTGTGGGTAATTGTAGCGGGCGCGGAACAAGCCCACTGCTTGCAGCCAAGTGACTAGTTCCTATTGGCAGGTTTTCCAGTGCCTCTAATTCGTCGTCTTGAATCTGAGAGTTGATAACAGAATCAAGGTAGGCAGGGTTGTCCAGCAGCTTGTCATCATCAGCGAAGTCTTGCGATTCCTCCAAGTAACCATAGCTCCGGGCCTCTCCCTCTTCCGTGTCGGCATCTGAAAACCTCCCATCATAGGTGTACACGGATCCTTCCAATTCGGGCGCACTTCTGTCAAGCCGTCGAGAGTCTACAAGCCCAGTTGATGGCTCAAGTATAGTTGATCTGGTCATTTCGAGAGTGGAGCTCCCCGAGGAGGGCCCAGGGGCAGGGGAAGAGACTCGGCTCGGGGGTTGACTTGTCTTCTGGACAAGGTTCGAGGGGGAGGCAGGGGCGGCGAACCGTGAGTAGTTGGCGAAGACAACTGGCTCTGATACCAACGCAACACTAATGTCAGAGAGCGAAACTGAACGTCTCCCTTTAGGCGATCGATCTCCATCTGTGACAGGAGGCGCAGAGACGGCGTCCACCTTCACTTGACCAACTCTCAGCAATGCAGTAATCAGATCGGGCCTATCCTCTGGCTGCCTCTTGATAGACCCATCTTGCTTCATCTCCACATCGACTCGCACGGATATGTCATCCACCTGAACCTGCAGGCGATCTACGACACCTTTAAGAAATGCGGCAACAAAGCTGGGCAAGGATACAGTCTCGTTGCCGAGACCCAGTTCCTCTTCATCATCGCTGATAGATGCCGATGTACGATGCAGAACCTGGGACCTAGAGGAGATGGCCGCTTGTAATTCATCCTTTTCCTCCTTGGGTTCAGCTTCGAGGAACGACTGTGCGAGATCGGCAGGGTTGGGAATGAATGCGTCCGGGCTGGAGATGTGGGGTGAGTCAGGGGCCCTGTCCCCTTGCCCAGAAGGACATGCTTCCTGCGAGAGTAGTCTCAGATGTACATTGATGCCGCTGGCTTGACATATTATACCGCTACTGTAGATGTCCGCGGGGACGGTGATCTTCAGGTATTGGACACGGGCGCTTAGGAGCTTGCTTGAGGCAGGAAGATGTAGTAGTGCAGCTAGTTTCTAATCGAAGTTGGGAAAAAGAAAAGATTAGTGGAAATGAATGATGAAGAATGTGAAATGTCGGATTTGGAGCACGGGCGGATCTGAGCAGTTGAACAGCCGTTTGAAAGACCGTTGCACTTACATCAAGCCTCAAGCCGATATCCCGCAGTTCGACGGTACTGCGTTGTCCCCATCGAATCCCTAGACTATCCAAGTCCAGAGCCTCAGTATCGACTAGCTCCAGGCGAGATAAGGCATAACGGAGCAATCGTTTCTGGAAGAAGGAAGGTAAGAAGTAGGCCATTTTCGGGCGGAGGGAGCCGGCGGGGGGCTCATTTGAGGATCACAACAGTCATCTGAGCAAAAAGAGAACAAGGCAATAGGAAGGGGAAAGGGAAAGGGGGACGGGTGAAAGATGCCTGGGCCTCAAGAAGAAGCAAGCAGCCAGAAGGCAGCAGGAAGCAGGCAGCAGGGAGCAGGAGGCAGAAAGTAGGAAGCAAAAGGACCACAACAGCAGCAGCAGCAGCAGCAGCACGAGCACGTAAGTTCGGGAGATGATGCGGATTGCTTCGAGGCCGGGAGAATGACGTTCGGGGGGAAATGGGGCGGAAGGGACGCTAAGTCCCGTTGGTAGGTGGAGTGACTGGAGCCAGTCACTTGAGAGTAGAGGAGAAGGAAAGATAAGGATGGATTGTGGATGATCGACCGCAATCGATAGTCAGGCGGAGAAGCTTGGGCTAGCCAACGAACTACCTAACCCAAACCACATACATCATGACAACTCACACCTACGTTGATTCATTTTCTTGTTGTTCTTCTTGATGATGATACATATAAATTTAGGTGAAAGTCCAGAGGGGGAATTTATGACTACCACAACCAGTGAACCGCGGCAATAGTGAATTTCAAGGCACAACAAAATCCAGAATCCAGTCGTTGCCTGAGGTTGGAATTCCCAACGATCATCAGAAGCTTTAATGGTTATTATCAAGTCCAGCTAGGAGGTTGAGGCATCGCGGAACACAGCTTGGAAGCCCAGGCACCGGCCAACACAGGCCTCGAGGCTCTAAATTTGTCGGGAAAGTGATGGTCCGTGTTTGAAGAATGTACTCCGTACTGTACATAGAGAGTGTAGATAGTGGATCCCTGCATATCGCTAAGGCGAGGGGCCAGCGTATAAAACATCATCATCATCAACTGTTTGGTCTATGTCTACACAGCAAAACCACAGTCCGGTTCTCCCACAGCTCCTCTTTCTGAGCATCTAATAATATATCCTAACCGTACGTATCAGTATATCGGGCTATCGATCAACCGAGGATAAATGTTACGGTTCAAGTAGTCCTAGAGACCGTTTCCGCTGTACGTGCATATTAGCAATTACACACGAATGTCACGTCCAACGGAGGAAGACACTGACTCTGTTGAATAAATCATGCCACTGACACGCCCAATCGCTGACATACTACTGAGTCAAAAGGTCTTCGCGCGGCTTCCGAATCTTTTAATCCAGTCGCCCCTCTAACCATTGTATCAGTTTCATAGCAAACAGGCACGTATTATTCACATCTCCAGCTCGCACGTCGACCTTAAAGGTCCAAATACCACTTCTTAAGAACATTGGGAGGAATTGGAAAGCTAGTAGAATCTCACTGTAGTCGCTACTGGGCATGTAGTCAACCTGAACCCCATGGGTATTACGGATTATAAGGTGGGCTAGATTAGAAAAGGATGTAATCTCTAATGGTTCTGTAGTAGAGTCTTCTTCGTCGTAACTACCATCCGGATAGATAGCAGAGGCGCTTAATTTGGGGGTTGCATTAATCAGACCCTCCTCAGGAAGTGCCAGCTCCTTCTTCTTGGATTCAGGTAGACAACCGCGTAGGTAGACGAAGAAGACACGGTCACTCATATCCGGCTATCAGTATCAAAAGATCATTAAGAAAAGAAGAAGAAGGATCTTATGTGATAATAGGAGTGGGCAATCTCAAGGAACTCGATCTTGTAGATCTGGTCGTTTTCAGGCACGGTGTCGTCGCAAATGGATCTGGGAGGGGATGTCCAGGTATGTGCTCCGACCTGTGGAGGGGAGGGAGCCTCGCCCCGGGGAAGGTACAAGGTAGTGTAGATTTCATATAATGGCATTACGTGATACAATCGAGCAAGGAATATAATCGTGGCCGAATGATACAAGATTCATCAATTATTCATCACTGCCTTCCTCCGCAAATGTGACAGTAACCCACTCGCAAAACTGCTCAAACCTCGCCCACCATTCCTGCAAACGGCGGGCCTTGACCTTCTCGCCCAGGATGCCTTCCCGAATCTCAGAAAGCCATTCACCCGTCGGCTGATCGTCGTAGCAGCTCCACCGAATCGAGTTCTCCACCAGCATTGCCAGTCCTGCAAGATCGGCGTGGTCATCAACGCCTTGAAGCACCCTCCAAATTACCTGCGTGAACCCTTCTGCACCGCGCCCGTCGAAACCACCAGACAGATGATTGCCACACAGAGCAACCGAGACACCCCGCGACAGCAGGGCCGGAAGAACGTGCTCGCTCCGGCTGGAGGTCGGACTGAACTCGACCAAGATCTTCTTCTCCTTGACCGACTCAGTCAGCAACGGGTGCTCGTAGAGTGTCGATCCATCGCAGATCCTCCGCGTCCCCAGCAGAATCGCATCATACAAGCCGTGGTCGGCACGCACCCCGTCACGCGCCATCTCGCCCGCATGGAAGAAGAAAGGGATCTCCAGTCCTGCGTCCATGCACTCTTTGCGGAACCAGAACAGTAGAGGCACAAGGTCCGACAGTGGCCTCGCATCACTTCCTGTCCCCAAGATGTCGAACCCACAGATAACCTCCGGGTAGTCATACTTTGCGAAAAGACAGGTTTGCATGTTCTCCACGATCTCCCTGTTCGACAATGAGCGACTGGTAGTCCATATGATACGCGCTCCGTAAAAGTCGCGCCCTTCGTCCGTGCTCTGGAAACGCCGTAATTCTTGTTGAAACACATGGCACCATTCGCTTTGATCTGCGTCGGGCGTGTCGGTTCCTTCTCGTCGATAGAGATGAGCGAAAGTATGCCTGAATTCGGCATAGTCGACCCCGTCCGCTGCCAAATGGGCGAAGACGTCTCTCAGGCAGGGACGCAGAATGGGCTCATAACTCAGCAGAGAATTGATGATCGGTGCGCCGTGGCAAGCGTCGCTCGACTGCTCGTCCCCAAGGGTGCATCGCCTCTTTAGCCATTCGCGGAACCCGGTCTCTCCGCCATCCGGGAAGGAAGAGGCTGCCTGCTGAACAGGAATAAGTTCCGAGGCAACATAGGCGGCCGACCATATGGAGACGCTGTGCTTCACGCTCTGTGTTGAAGATGAAGTATACTGAAAAGTGACGGGTGATTTGAGTCGCGCTTCTTGAGATGATAAAGGCTGAGGGCTAGAAATGTGCAGCCCTGCTGTGATAAGAACGATGTCGATCAACTTATCTACGTTAATGAGGCCATGGATGGAGGCGTTCAGCAGAGACCCCTTTGGCATTTTCTGCGCGATCTTCCAAATATCGGTTTTTCGAACCTGCTCCCAGTCCAGAGCCGGTGGTCCATAGTAAGGCGTAGAGGCTTGAGTCAACTCCCGGTCGCGGATTTGGGACACAATCTTACAAGCTCTAGCGGCGACTGGGGTCAGAGCTTTGCGGAGGTTGAAGTCTGAAACACACTCGTCAGTCGAGATCAATTTGGCCAGTGGCCCAAGTACTTGGGTGACTAACCATGTCGCTGTTTCTGCTCTTGCAGAATAAGAGAGTCCCGTCCTTGCAAGTACTGTTGAATGAAGGGATCTTCAACCTGGGGGATCCCTTCCTCTAATTCCCACTCCTTGTCGTCGGCGGCCATTGTTGATTATTTGAGGACACCAAATGGGAGTTTCTCGCGCATCTGCAGACTGCGCTCTGGGGGTGCCTTAACTAAGGTTGGAAAGGATTCAGGAACTAGGCCGACTATTGGAACTGTTCGCAGCCGACGGAACCCATGAGGTCATAATCTCGATTGCCCCGCTCTCATGAGCGAGTCGGAGTTTAACCGCGATTGAGCTAGTAGTACTAGTGGTCACCATTCCAATCTATTCCAGTTGCACAAGTTAAGGTTAGTTTAAATGGCACCGGCTGAGCATTGCCTTACAGCACCATCGATCTTCTGCTACAAGTCCCCGCGGAATGTTCAATTCTCGGCATTTCAGGCCCGGGGCACCTCAGGGCTGCCGCATACGGCAAGTTACCGGTTTCGGAAGCCATCCACTAGAAATAGTAACAAAGTAAGATTACCTTAAGCTTGATGTCGACGGTAGGAGACGATTGAAAGCTCAAGAGACTACCTGATATCCCAAGATAAGAAGCCTGAACGTAGGGCACCTCTGTATGTGTAAGAGGGTGCCCCATCCAAAGCATCTAGCCAGTAAAGCAAAGCAGGCAATATTCGCCGGGCGAGAATGAAATATATGCTCGTTGTACTCTAGAGAAATGTACTAACACATGTCCTACCTTAGAGAGGATGAATTGACCACCGTAATAGTCTCTAACGCGATATCACCCCCTGCAATACCCTGCAAGCCCGAATCTCGACGCAGGATTCATCTCCCATGTTTGAAGCTGATAACCAGGTACAGTACATTGCAGATCCGGCGTGCTGTCGGCAGCCGGCGCCCAGCTGGCCCGGGAATGTCCATCGCGTGGCATTTAGGTTATGCTAACGCGGGCGATCACTGCCTTCGGCAGTGCAGCAATTGCAGGGGTGTATGTTGATCACTTGTTGGAGCAATTAATTTGCCAGGACGAGGTAGAGTATCTACCGGGGCGTTTCTTCACTTTCCTCTAGCACCGGGGCTTGATTTAGTCTGATTTGAGTAGCTAAGATTTAAACTTGGCCTATCCATATTAGACTGGAGCGCCGGGTAGGGGAGTAAGACTTTGGATGGTTATTTGGATGTTGTTCGCTACTGTGCTAACTGCTAAGTTATTACTAGATGAAGAAAGGAACCACCTTCATCATGTCTCGCTGCTTTTTGATGTATTGCAGTTCTTGAGATTAAAGATACCTTCTTGTGAGTTGGAGCTCAGAGCTGCCTCGAGTGGATAGCTTGTAGCTTTGTTCCAAGTATATCAAAAATCAATGAGACCCTTGCCTGACTACTTACTTCATGGCCGCTCATTTACACACATGCCTCGCAGCCAATTTAAGAATGACAAACAAGCTGAAAAAAAGGACCCGAAGATCCCAAACAGGACTAAAAAGAAAGTAGGGTATTTGATTCCAGGGACCTATAGCCTTCCAATCCCCACACCGCTGGTCCATCCCCACCGAAGCAAAATAGAAAATTCGCGCCCCTCCCAAACGCATAAACTCCAGAAAACCCCCAGATGACAAGAAACAGGTGGACCCCGGGACCTGCTATAAAAGAATCCCAGGAGAGACACTGTGCAGTGATCGCATCCTAAACGAAAGTACCCCAAAGACAACCCCAGTTATGCAATGCAACCTGATTTTCCTCTCCCGTTTGCGGAACCGACCGCAACATCAAACACACATTCTCCTGGACTCTTTACTCGATATCTTCAATGTCGCGATGACGAGCAAGAACGTGTCGTTTGTATTCTTCTTGGTTGGTATCCCAGAGCTCGGCGGCTTGGGCGTTGAGGGGGCTCGCGCTGTGGGTGTATTAGCATTTTGAAGGTCCTCGACCGGAACATGGGATGGATGGCATCATACTTGTTGGGCTCCCCGAGCAGACTCTGCAAGCTGAGCAGCACGCTCTGTACGTTGTACACAGCGCTCCATTTGTCTTTCAAGATATCAAGACAGATGCGGCCGGAGAAGTCGACGTTGGGGTGGTAGATGGGGGTCTTGAAGAGAACGGTAGGAGGAGCATAGGGGTAGTTGCTGGGGAAGGCGAACGAGAGTCGGAAGGTCAGTCCTTCGTAGGGGGTTTCGGTTGGACCACTAATGGTGGCGGTCCAGGAGAGCAGGTTGCCGTCGGCGTCTGGGAAAGCGGAGATGCCCGGAGAGGGGGAGAGCATGAGTTGCATCAGCTCAGCTTGAAGACTAGAAATCAGTCGGACGGTCAGTATGTGAGCGACTTCGGATGATCGACAAATGCGTCTCAGGATGCGGTGACGGACCGTTTGGTGACGCTCTGAGTGTCACTCCTTTGTGCTGAGGAGCCGAGCTTGGAGGTCTCGTGAGCGTCAGGAGCGGAGTTCTGAGTGTCTTCCATGGTGTAGTCCATTGTGAAGGAGAGGGTCGAAGGGAAGGTGATGAAGGAGAGCCGAAAAGATGGGTAAGACTAGTGATGCAGAGAGGAGTTCCGGAAAAATGCCAGCTTTCGAGACTAAGCAGTAGCGAGGAACAAGAGATAATGAGGTAGGTTGCTGGTGGTGGAATGAGAGCGTAACCGAAAGCAGCGCGACAGTTGGCCGGAGGGGAAGCGGATTGACCCACCGCAAGAACCCCAGAATGATCGGAATCAGAACCTTGGACGAACGGAGAGCTGCAGCAAAAGTATGTATGTATGTCTGGTTTAGAGCAGTTTTGTAGATCCTTTCTTTGGAAATGAGAAACAGGGGAAGTAGTCTGGGTTCTTAGGGAAAAGAGAACTTAAGTGGGGGAAAGACAACTGTGATCGAGTGTTGGATTGATTGGGGTTAGTTTTCTCCCTTTTTTGTTTACGCCCTCATCCGCCGGGCAACGCAGCGCAACCGTTCAATGAATGACTCTGATTGATGCTCGCTGGCCATTGATGATCCACCACCGCATCTGATCTCCAGAGCCTCCATCTGACTCTCTCAGTTGACAGACCGGTGGTCATGTTAGTTGTATACATGACGCTGTTTCTCTCGGTGCCAGTCATCTTAAATCGATGACGGAATTACAGTCAGCACACGAAGAAAAAAAAGCCCACGCCTGTCTGTACATACAACAGCCATACAACAAGTACTGTACGTACTAACACTAGACTACAGCCTGTGTCATCTGTGTTATTTTGGCTGCCGGACCAAGCCAGAGCTCGGCACAATACGTAACAGCTGCTCCCTAGGCGGTCAGCCAGTGGCTCCGCACTGATCGATGCATATAATCGACACGGTTAATCCTCTATCCTTGTCAACTCTTCTGTTCATGCTCAGGCTTTAAACATGTGCGCAGCTTCAGAATCTCTTCAAAGAACAGAGAAAAGTTGCCATGGCCCCATTCATCAGAACCGGCAGCAGGGACTATTTAACAAGTCCCTGCTTAACAATGTCGGGTTTCAGCACAGTACAGCGGCGCATGACAATTGAGGACCGTGCGCGGAGCGTTGCGCCGTGGCTTACTGAGAAGGCCCTTGAGGGGCTCTATTCAAGTCGGACGTTGTGTTTATGGGCTGTCACGGCACTGGCAACATCCATTAGTCTTAGAATATGGTACTCGTACATTTGCGCCTGTTGGTTGTTGATTCATCAAAACCATAATGAAACCTTGAATGGTGGTACAGTTACCATGAGCATACAGCAACCCTGGAAGTAGTCGATGCTAGCTCCGTAGGCAAAGAACATTCAATGAAGGGACTACCTTTTAGACTCGTACCTTAATGATTTTCTAGCGGTGAGCTACCCTTATTCTCCGAGAAGAGACGTGAGTGAGTGTATAAATAAGGTCAAATAAAGGTCCTGAAACCACCCACCATACATATGCAGGTAGTGCCCCCGACTAGTACAAAGATTGCCGTGGCCACCCGAGCGTAAAAAAGACCATTTTCTTCCTCCTCCTAACATCCAAGAGACTCGTACTCGTCAAAGAGACTCTTACAGTCGTACAAGTCGGAATGGATGCCTGCGACCGGCAGCCTGTCAACAGACTTCCCAATGAGGATAAAGTGGCTCTCGCGTGCCGGAGCTGCGCGCGTTTCTCTCCAGCTTCGCTCTCCCATCGCTCACCCTTGCGTGGATTCTCACCACCGCATGATTCTGGCTAGAAGTAACTGAAAACTCGGACAATTTTCTCGATTTGCACCTCCTTCCATCTGACCTGTCATATACTATCGGATTCACCCGTGGAAACCCGGGTTTGCTCGCCAGCACCACGATGCATCACTCGCAACTAGCCCCGCTGCCGAATGACTTACCCTTCCGAATAGTCTCCAAGACGATCGGCCAGGGTGCCTATGCCTGGTCTGCTTGAACTTAAGCCCTCTTACTCGATTTTCTTGTAAATCAAATCATCTTGTTAACAATTGTCTTTTAAATTCCTTAGCATCAAAAAAGCCGTCCCGTCCCACACAGATAGTCCGGTCTTCGCAGTCAAGTTCATTCACAAGGAATATGCCGCTCGCCATGGCAAAGTCAGCGCGCGACAATTACAGATGGAGGCGACGGTACACAAGCACATTGGCGACCATAATAACATAATTTCTTTCTTCCAGACCGGCGAGGACGATGTGTGGCGCTGGGTTGCAATGGAGCTGGCCGAGGGTGGCGATCTTTTCGACAAGATCGAGGCCGACGAGGGCGTGGGCGAGGACATCGCGCACGTCTACTTCTCCCAGCTTATAAGCGCGGTAGGCTACATGCACTCCAAGGGGGTGGGACACAGAGATATCAAGCCGGAGAACATGCTGCTGGCCGCGGATGGCAATCTTAAAATTGCCGACTTCGGCTTGGCCACGCTGTTCGAGTACAAAGGCGTGACCAAACTCTCCACCACCTTCTGCGGTAGCCCGCCGTATATTGCACCAGAGGTGATTTCGTGCAGCAGCAGGAGTCAAATTAAAGGGAGGGGTTACCGACCCGACCTGGTGGATATTTGGTCGTGTGGTATCGTCTTGTTCGTCCTCTTGGCTGGCAACACCCCGTGGGACAGCCCGACGGAAACGAGCTACGAGTACCAAGAATACCTTGCCACTAATGGGCGTACGACCGACGAGCTGTGGCAGCAGTTGCCGCCCGCTACGCTTTCACTCCTGCGCGGCATGTTGAACGTGGATCCAGCCAACCGATTCTCTCTCGAGGACGTCCGCAGACACCCCTGGTACACCCGGCCGAACAAATACCTATCGCGCAACGGCACGCTCAGAGACACCATCAACATGGCCACGACGATGTTCGAGTCTCTGCATATCGATTTCACACAAGACCCCTTCGCGCGGCCGCACGGCAGCGGCGGGAGCCAGGGCTTTGAAGGGACCACCGGCCTAATGGACATGGGAGATGAATTGGACGACGATACCGATCAAAGGATCTCATCCACGCAGCCGGAAATGCCGCGCGGTGGTATGCTAGTGGATTGGGACACGCCGCAGGTGGCGGACGCATTCTCTTCCACCCAGCCCATGGGCAGACCGTCGTTGTTGTTCGGGAAGAACGACACCCAGCCCCTCGACCACCTGGAGGACGAACCGTCCATGTCGCAATTCTCCCCGCACCCCTCCGTGCCCTTAAGTCGCACCCAGAAGGCCATCCGCTTCCACGACATCGTCCCCGCCCGTGCCATGACGCGGTTCTTCTCAACGTGGGAGCTCAAAATCCTAGTGCCCCTGATCTGCGAGGCACTGCATCGTCTGGGCGTTCCCGTGCCCGCCGTGCCCGCCGTATCCGCCGGGGATACCTCGGCCACGCTGCGGATCATCACCCGCGACGGGCGCATGTGTACGCTGCAGGGCAAGGTCCTGATCGACTGTGTGTCGGAGGGTCTCTTCGAGATCGAATTCATGAAAGTCAAGGGCGACCCGCTGGAGTGGCGGCGCTTCTTCAAAAAGGTCGCCGTGCTCTGCAAGGACGCCGTGTACAAGCCTGATAGCTGAATTGCCTAAACCTCAGCAGGGTCCCCTTCCACATTGAAGCTTTTGTTTGTTTGTGTGTTGGTCGAGTTGCGTCTGGCTTGTGGCCTTATGGTTCATTGTACGAATTAATGTAATAATGATGGGATTGGAGTTGTGGAATTCGGATGGGTTTGGCAACAAAAAGAGTAATGGAAAACAAGCTAGCATCATACGCTTACATTTTTCTCTTTCTTTCTCTCTGTCGTTGCTAGCTATGTTTCGATTATTAGAAATGGTGATCATTCAGGTTCAGGGACAAGCGGTCACAGCTGCCTCTAGTGATGTTTCAAGGTTCTGCCTTTCCCCCCCCCCCCCCCTCCCTGTGTATCACGACTGCAGTACTGCAGCATTCTGACCACCCTAGTACTTCGTAGAATGCGATCTAAATGCACGGTTTGTACCATAAGACTCTATAAGTCGCAACATCGGCAGCAAGAGAGACAACTAACCAAAGCAAAAATGGTCTATCATGTAGGGAAGCAGGCAACAGGTACATACTCAAGTGACACACACGGATGAGAATAACTCAGAAGACCCGCAGGGCTCATTCGCTAAAGCCACGAGAGGTAGAGAGAAATTTGGTTGGTATCAAGAACAAATGCTAGCCGGGTTATATATCGTGCTTGTGGGAGATGATTCATCAACCTGATCTAAAGGCCGAGTCCTCCCATGCGTCTCACCTCATCAGCCTGCCTCTCAAGCGCTCTGCGCATCGTATTCGCGTATTCGTTTTCTCGACGGCGGAGTTCTCGTCGTTTGGCTCGGAGCTCCTCACGCGCAGCATCGTCCAAATCCATGTCCATTAACATGTCGTCGGCCTCATCGTCCTCGTCGTCGAAATTCGCGCTGGTGGAGGTAAAATGGACTCGGCCGATGTGTTCGCCCGTCCAGACAAGGAGCTCGTCGCCTGTCAGGCTGCCGCCGGTGGGGAGGATCTTGCGGGCGACTTCGCCTTCGCTGTAGGATCGGGACAAGCCGCCCCAGAGACCGGTGGCGAGGTCCGTGTCGCCGTCTGCAGCGCGAGGCTGGTGCGCGGTCTCGCTGGGGTGGTGGCGGCGATGGGAGGACCCTACTCGAGTATTATGGTGGTGGTAACCATGATGATGGTGGGGGTGGTGTGGAGGTTGGTAGCTGTTGATGTTGAGGCGACGGACTTCGGACCGGCCGTCCCGCTCCACCCATTTGATATTTCCATCTCCATCCGAATAGACAATGCGGGTACCGTGGGATTCGACGGATAGCACCTTGGACCTGGCGACACTTTGCCGGTTGTGATACATCGTCGACACCACGGACGACGACCCGGACGAGTTGATCATGTCGCTGTTATTGGATGGGGCGAGATTATACAATTCAAGTGACCCCCTACCTTTGTAGTCGCCACAGGCTACTAGCTTGTGTGAGGAGGGGAAGCTTGAGTCGGAGATGGGAAATCGTGGTCCGGGAACGGCTGCCAGACCACAAAGCTGACCACCGGAGTGGATTGTGTTTTGCAGCCGCGGGAAGTAGCGGCGATCGTACTGAAGAATGCTTGGGAAGCGACCGGCGAGGAAGATCGAGTGAACATGTGGCGCTGGGGGGTGCAGAAGTGAGAGGGGCCCTGGTTGGAAGAGTGGTGCATAATCGTCGGTGTTCTGTGAAGGGCCCGGGCTTCTGATACGGTGTGGAGGTCGGCCGTCAGGTTGCAGTTGCAGAAGCGGCGAGTCGGGCGGAGCGTACAGCTGTGACTTTGGAACCAACGAAACAGTTGGCTCTTCACATCGTAGATTAATGGCTTCTTCTTCCTCGCTTGCGGACAGTCGACCGTCGTAGATGTGTAGACTCAGCGTCGTAGCGAGTGTCAACGGCACCGAGTAGTCCGTTTCCTGAGACAAGGCGAACACGGACCAAGGATAGCGTTGCTGAGAGACCACCCGCAAGGTCTCCAGATCGACCTCGTTCAGGACATTTCCCACGGCCAGATAAGCCCTTCGGCGGATGGAGTCCACGCTCACACATTCCCCCAGATTCACATATTCCAGAGACTGTTTTGCCGCGGCGTGATCCCTCCTGCCAGAGAGGTTGGTCATCAAGATGCCCGGGGCGCTGACGCCAATCATCTTACCCTTTGTCTCTTGCGACCCGATCGAGTGGGAGTGGTTGAGGTCCCAAATGCAAACACTCCCATCGTCCAGAGGAGCGATGACTTTGTTTTCCCTGGCTGAGCTCCAGTCCCGCAGCAGGCCCATGCCCTTCGCTTCCCGATACACCCTTCTTTTCTGACCTTCCACCCGTGTGAACGGGCGCTGCATCCAGCTGAGCGAGATTGGTCCATTCCGTGCGATATACTCCGAGTACCAGTTCACATCTTCACCCTCGTAAGACGGGTCCCACTCCGTGGCCGCCCGTGATCGAAGACCAAACGACGGCGCCCGATCGGATGGTTTAGCACTGCCCCCGTCATTCCCCGCATTGGGTTGAATGAGGGATCGAAGGGTAGTCTGCCCTAGCGCACTCAGCGGTGCGGTGGAGTTGGTGACAAGGCTCGCGGAACCGGTGCCATTAGCGGAACGAGAGGCTCGCGTGGCGCTCCATGACTCTTCGTAGCAGTGGAGTCTCCAGAGATTATTGTCACGGGCGACAAGAAACAACCGTTTTGAAACAGATTGGAGTTGTACCCGCTCATGTGGAGTGAGGTCTGAAGGGTCTCGTTAGCTTGTTTCGCTTATGTTGTTATTGGGAGCTTGCGACTTTAGACTAGCAGCAGCACTTGGACGGAGGGGCTGTGATGTTTGTGTGTTTGGGTGTTTGGGTGTTTGGGTGTTTGGGTGTGGAGTTTATTAGTAAGGGAGGAGGGGGAGAAATAAGGGACTATCTGCATACAATCAATAATCTCACAGAGGATCTCTACGGGGAGTTTCTCCATGAGTGAGGCAGAGGGAGAACCAACAACACCATTGAGGGCGGAAGGGGATTCATCTGGCTTGTGCGATGGGGTGTAAGCAAAGGCCATAAGTATTATGATTTGCGTTCTTGGGGGTTGGGGGGCTCCATTTATTGCTCTCCACAGTCCGGATTCTAGACCCGCGTCACGTGCAAGGCCCAAGCAGGAGGCTGTAAAGTATACATGCACCTGGTTACATACGTATAGATAACACTTGCTACTGGTATCTTTGTGGTTGGTCATTGTTCAGGGAGTCCAACCTTTAATACTACCAAGCACCAGCAGCTCCAATGGTCTAAGGCATCAACAAGCGGCCAGCTCATCAAAGCAAGCTCCTCCAGCACCGATATAGACCGGGGTGGTAGAAGTGGATAGCATTGCGAGATCCCCGATTTCACATCGGGGGCGCGCAGAGTCTGGTCGTCGAATCCCAAGAGACAATGATGTCCGGCGCATTCAGGAAAACAACGTAGCGCATCCGATATCAATACGACGGCAATTAGTTGTCAGGCGCTAGTTACATCCACCCACAGCTGATTAACTGTCTGCTGGGTGTATGATAGCACGTCGCCCATTCATCGACCAAGTCCATTTCAGCGTGGTACAGGAGCCTCGTAGAACGCTGCTGTAAATAGTGGTACGCAGGTGCCTGCAATGAGAGAGATATCAAGGAGTTACAATAGCTGATGGAGGTTAACTAGTTCCCTGTAGAGAGTTTATTGATAAAACGTGCACGCATTTCAGCAACAGAAAGGACCCAGCACTTGCTGGTACAGTACTTGTTGATCAATCGATAGAAATGGTCATGGCCACTTGCCAGAGAATAATTTCCCTGCCTGCAAAAGGCGGCCGCTTCCGGGCCCGGCCCAAGACAGCTGAGCCTGCAGGCCTCGGCGAACCACCCGCTCATGACCGACATCTGACAAACCATTAGTGATCCGCTCCCTATCCCTCAGGGCTCAGACTTTCCTTAGCCTTCTTCGTACATCTTCCCTGACTAAAAACTATCCCTGTCCAATTTCACTTTAAGTCCTTACGGAGTATATCATATTCTTGAGCCTCATTGTACTAACGCAGGAAAGCAATATTCAAAGTGCGATCACTTCTCGATTGATCTTCCTCGACCCTCCCTCCATTCGCCATCTCCGAACCCGAGCTTCCGAAAGTCCGCCCCGCGCCTCATCTCCGGCCGAGATAGAGTCATTCGCCTTGTGATCGGGTGTTCACTCCGCAATCGCAACCTATAATCACTCAACTGGACCTGACTCCATATATTTACGCTGTACCACACAACATAGCGTTCTTCGTCCAATCTGTAAACACATCAGAAGAAGCCTTTTCAATACGATCTTCGCTTCACCCGCTCCTCGCCTCGCCATATTGCCCCGCCTCCAATTCCGCATAGAGGGGCAGATCCAACTACCTGACCTTAAAGTTCACACAACACAATGACCATGGCTGCGCCGTTGGATTCTAGTCTGAATTTCGATTCCATCGAAGACACCCTTGCCGCTTTCAGTGAGTCTTCTCGCTCCCCCTCTCAAAACTCCTCAACACTGCGCGTGCCTCCAGGCGTCTGCTGGCATGGTGCAGAATCGCATCGCGAACTAACCACCCAATTGCGCTTCAGAGAATGGCGAGTTCATTATCGTCCTCGACTCCCAAGATCGCGAAAATGAAGGCGACTTGATCATCGCCGCCGAGTCTATCACCGACGCCCAGATGGCCTTCCTGGTCCGGTACACGAGGTGAGAAAGACACAATCTCTCCATATCTCGCTCCTCGGACGCAGGCGCCAGACCCTTCAAGCTGCAATCGAGAAACCCAGTATCCGAAAGAACCCCATACTGACTTAGCATCTTTCCAATATCAGCGGTCTCATCTGCGCCCCCGTTACCCCTGAAATCGCCCAACGCCTGGCCCTCCCACAGATGGTGCTCGAAAACGCGGACCCCAAGGGCACCGCCTACACGGTCTCCATTGACTCGAGCGACCCGTCCGTCACCACTGGTATCTCCGCACAAGACCGCGCTCTGGCCTGCCGCACCCTCGCCTCCCCGACCGCCCGCGTCGACGATTTCCGACGACCGGGCCACATCATCCCCCTACAGGCCCGCAGTGGCGGTGTCCGCGAGCGGAGAGGCCACACGGAAGCGGCGGTGGAGTTCTGCCGGTTGACGGGCAAGGTCCCCGCGGGTGTGATCGCGGAGCTCGTCGAGGACGGCGAGCTGGTTGAGGGGGTGCCGGAGATCCGGGGCAACAATGGCATGATGAGACGTGATGGCTGTCTGCGGTTCGGCAAGAAGTGGGGGATCAAGGTCTGCACGATCGAGGATCTGGTCGAGTATGTGGAGAAGACGGAAGGTGGTCTTACGAACGGGGGTCAATGAACATGAAAGAGAGCAGAAACAGGAAAAAAAGGGTCGAGAGAGGTATATTTGTGGTTTCTTTCCCTTTGACGGTTGTATAAATTTCTTCTGAGTGATTTCCTCTCTTGTTCGGTTATACATCAGGACCAGGCTCTTTGGGTTTGTTGTTCACTGCATTATGCGCGGCTTGGTTGCATGTTTGCGTATGGGTGACTCAAGTGAGGAAAAGAGAAAATAGATTCTATCTTTATGGCTGGTTTACACGTTTTCATGAGTCTTGGAGGAGTCGTTGTTAGATAAAAGAGGAGAATCGACATGAGCATCAAGTCCATCATTCATGCAATTGTTTAAATTAGTTGGGTATCGATTTTGCCTTTATATTATACAGCGAGGGCGATGAAGATCGCCAGAAGACAAACATGACCAAGCGCAGATAAGATCTGGTCAAAAATAGCAGAGAAATCAGAAGTATATCCTTTTCCTGCGTCTAATGTTTACCCACCAAACGCCAGTATAATGCAAAGTCCGAGTAAAAAAAGGAAAATGAAGAGAACCCCCCGCTATACCTTTTTCAAAGGCTTGTAGGCTTTCTTTTTTGTTTTTCTTTAGAGGAGCCAAACAAGCGAGCAAGGACGGATTGTCGGGGGACAATACCGATCGCATGAACTCCTTACCGCTTCAGGTGAGAGTAATCCCGCAAAACGCCCATCATGTGGGTGTTGGTCGTCTTCCCGCTGCGGCGAGGCTTCTTGACCTTCTTGTGCTCGATCTTGGGCCGCTGCTTGACGACCTTGTTCTTGTTGGTGGGGACGATTCCGGCGCGCTCCAGCTCCTCCTTGACGGTCTGCTGGTCTGGGATCTTGATCTTCTCCCAAATCTGCCGGAACTCGTCGTCGAAGTGCTGGATCAGCGACGGGTCGTTAGCCCAGACCATCTTCGCATGGTCGTCCTTCTTGTTCCGCGTCACCAAGAGCTTCCCATCCTTCTCGAGCTGGTTAATCGTGTCCTCCACGTTCGGCCACCCCTCCCGGAGCTCGCGGACGCTCATGCCCGCGCCCGTGGACTGCGTCTGGAGCTTTTTGAGGAGCTGCTCCGCGGTGCGGATGTTGTGCGGAGGCCGGAAGCTGAAGGTGCCCTCGCCGTTGGCGCCGCGGGGGTCGTACTGCACCTTGTCGTGCACCTGCAGGATGCTTCGCAGGGCCTGGACGTAGCCCTGGTCGTTGGCGCGGTGCTGCAGGGAGAGGTAGGAAACGATGTCGGGGAACTTGAGCGGCACGCCCTTCGCCTTCATGTGCTCGATCGCGAAGATGACCTGCGTCATGATGTCCTTGCCCGTGCCGGTATTCGCGGGCTGTGAGTAGACAATGTCATCGTGGCGTTTGCGATCTCCGCCGCCCGGAGTCGGTGTCGATGTGGAGGAGGGAAGCTGCGAGCTGCTTGCGGAGGTGGTCGTGTTGTTCTGATGGTTGAAGCGTCTCTGCTGCCCGAGTCGACTCGCGGAGTCAACGACGCTGGCGTTGAAACTCTTCAGCTGGTTCTGAAGATAAGACATGTTTGCGATCGAGATAGCGAAGAAGACAGCTTTAGTATGGACCGAAAAAAATGAACGAGTGAAGGGGTTGACCGCAGCGAGCCCGGAGATCTAGTAGACTCCTAAAGGTGGGGAGATGAAACAAGGACGAGGCAAAGCCTCTCTCTTTGTGAGGGAGCACAAAGAAGCTCTTTTCGCGACGCGACAATAGATCACAAAAGCATGAAAGAAGTTTGCTCTGTTCTGACGCAACAACCTGTGTGGTTGAGAATGACAGGATGAATGAGCTGAGAGGGAGATGAGAGTGTTCGTCATCACGGATCTAGAAGTTCTGACATTGCAGGTTGCGGCCTTGCGGCCCGCTCAGGCAACACTATCGCACGTGATAGTAGCCAGCTGCGCTAACCTGTTTGGAGCTCCGCCCAAAGCCAATGCGTAACTTGCTTGACCTGCAAGCCGGTCTCTCAATCATTCTCATCTCACCTATCGCGCGACAGGGGGCTTTCTCTTCTTTCTGCTCTGCCTCTGTCAGCTTCTTCACTCTTTTTCTCTGTCTCGCTTTGCCCCTCATGACCTAGGCTGGCATTTGGGGTGCTGTGCGCAACTATTCCCGACGGTGTCCGAAACGCGCGGTGACATCGCCTGACCGACGTAGCTTTGCCTACTACATTACCATTCACTCTGAGCAGATATCACGTCGAGTTTCTACGATATATCTGCTTCGAACAAAGGTTAGCAGCTTGATTGCTGCAAACATCTAGCAGCCATCATGGCTACCGCAACAATTGAACTGCCATTCATATCGGCTCATTACTCCATCGCCGAATCGACTCTTTCGACGCTCACCCAAGCTCCTACGGTCGAATTAGTCAACCAACTTCTGGAGGCCATCTCCAAGAAAGCCCGCGAACACGATGAACTCAAAGCAGACAAGACCCGCTTGGAAGTGGAGCTTGACAATGCGGTCCGCAGCAGCGAAAGCAAGGTCAAGGTGCTGAAGAGCTCTATCGAGAAGGGTCATGCTGAGGTTGAGGAAACAAGGAAAAAGCTTCATGAGTCGGGTTAGACAGAATGACTACTGCGGTTGACTGATTTGCCTTGCTAACACATTACAGAAAATGCTCGATCGTCCCTAGAATCCGAGATCGCCTCGCTCAAGTCGTCCTCCACAACCAATGAATCCGAAGTGAGCACACTGAAATCCCGCATCGCCTCTCTAGAAGCTTCGAATCGTGATACCATGGCTCTGCTCGAATCGAAGACGACAGCGTACGACAAGCTCGCCGAAGAGCTGTCAGCCCAACACAAGAAGACTGTCGAATTGAGACGAGAACTATCTACCGCCGAACAGAACCTTCAAGCCGCCAACTCTGCATCTGCTAGCGCCAAGTTCCGCGAGCAGAGTCTCCAGCAAGACTTGGAGTTGACCAAGAAGAGTAACGAATGGTTAGACACTGAGCTGAAGACCAAGTCTGCAGAATACCTGAAGTTCCGCAAGGAGAAGAGCGCCCGCATCTCAGAGCTTCAGCGAGCGAATGAAGAGGCTAGCGCCACTGTTGACTCCTTGAGACGCAGTGAGAATGCTCTCAAGAGTCGCTTGGATGAGGTCGAACAGCGTTACGAAGAGTCCCTTTCGAGCATCCAGCAGCTGAAAGAAGAGGCGATACAAGCGAGCGAGTCATTCCGGATTGAATTGGATAGTGCGAACAGGCTGGCTGAATTGCAACGCAACTCTTCTGAAACCGCCAAGCAGCGGGTGCAAGAACTCCAGGTAGCCCTGGAAAAGGCCAAGGACGATGCGGCCGAAGAGATCTCCCGCCTTCGTGTTGAGATCGAGACTGAACATTCGGATAAGGAGACTGCTGAGCGCCGCATTGCAGAGCTGGAGCAGACTGTGAGCCAACTCGAGTCAGACGGCCAGGCTAGAAGGAGATCCATGAGCCCGGCTCTCAATGGAGGAATACCCACTACGCCTATCCGCTCAGGTACACCGGTTGGAACATTCTCCCCGAGAGCTTCGAGAACCAAGGGTGGACTTACGATCACACAACTTTACACCGAGTACGACAAGATGCGGTCACTGCTGGCCGCTGAACAGAGAGCCAACCAAGAGCTCCGGTCGACGCTGGATGAAATGGTCCAGGATCTCGAGGCAAGTAAGCCCGAAATTGATGAATTGCGAGCCGACCACGCCAGACTGGAGAACGCAGTTATGGAAATGTCCAACATCCTTGAAACGTCTGGAAAGGAGAGGGATGATGCGACAAAGGAGGCACGCAAATGGCAAGGGCAAGTGGAGGGACTTGCGCGTGAGGGCGACATTCTACGACAGCAGCTTAGGGACCTGAGCTCGCAAGTGAAGGTCCTAGTGATGGAGAACGCGATTCTCAAGGAAGGAGAGGAGAGTTACGATAGGGAAGAGCTCGAGAAGATTGCTCGACAGGAAATTGATGACTCGTCTGCAGATCTCAACCCAACGGGACGCTTCATCAGCCGCAACCTGACGACTTTCAAGGATCTCCATGAGCTACAGGAACAGAATGTTACTCTCCGCCGCATGCTAAGAGAGTTGGGCGATAAGATGGAGGGCGCAGAGGCTCGCGAGCAGGATGTTATTCGCCAACAAGAGCAAGAAGAGTTGAAGGAGCTGAGAATTCGTGTGCAGACTTATCGCGACGAAATCTCCAACCTCGTTGCGCAGACAAAGAGCTATGTGAAGGAGAGAGACACCTTCCGAAGCATGCTGACCCGTCGCCGTCAGACCGTTGGCGATGCTTCTGTCTTCTCCCAGTCTCTTCCACTTGGGGCAGTCCCTCCTGGAGCAGCCGATGAACAGGCTAAGGACATTCCCGACTATGCTGAACTACTACGCAAGGTTCAAGCCCACTTTGACAACTTCCGTGAAGAGTCTGCTACCGATCATGCCGCTCTGAAACAACAGGTCAATGAGCTTTCGCGAAAGAATAGCGAGTTGATGAGCGAAATCAGCCGTTCTAGCAGTCAGCTTGGCGCTGCTACTCAAAGAGCCGAGCTTCTTCAGAGCAACTTCAATATGCTGAAGAGTGAAAATGCAGAGCTGCAGAAACGCTACGCCAGTCTGTTGGAAAACGCCAACAGGCAAGACCTTAGGACCCAACAAGCTGCCGAAGACCTCGTTGAGACTAAGGGACTGGTGGAAAGCCTTCAACGCGAGAACGCGAACCTCAAGGCAGAAAAGGATCTGTGGAAGAGTATTGAAAAACGGCTGATCGAAGACAACGAAACTCTGAGAAATGAGAGAAGTCGCCTGGATTCTCTGAATGCCAACCTTCAAACTATCCTGAACGAGCGTGAACATACAGACTCTGAGAGCCGCCGCAGGCTACAGCAAAGCGTCGAATCCTTGGAGTCAGAACTGCAGTCTACCAAACGCAAACTCAATGATGAGATTGAGGAGTCAAAGAAGGCGACCTTGCGCAGAGAGTACGAGCATGAGCAGAGTCAGAAGCGAATTGATGACTTGGTTACAAGCTTGGGCTCCGTCCGGGAAGAATTGATCGCAACCAAGACCACCAGAGATCACTTGCAGTCGAGAGTGGATGAATTGACCGTCGAGCTTCGCAGTGCCGAAGAGCGACTTCAAGTCGTACAATCTAGACCGAGTGTTACTGCCGCCCCCGCTACAGCGCCCGAGACCGAGGAAGGTCAGGAGTCTGGCTTGACCCGTGAGCAAGAACTTAGCATCGAGGTTTCCGAACTCAAACGTGACCTTGACTTGGCCAAGAATGAGCTTCAACATGCTGAAGAGCGAGTTGAGGACTACAAGGCCATCAGCCAGCAGAGCGAGGAACGCCTACAGTCTGTGACTGAGACACATGAAGAATATCGGGAGGAGACGGAGCGTCTGATTGAGGAGAAGGACAAGAAGATTCAGGATCTCGAAAAGCGCATTGAGGAGATTTCTTCCGAGTTGTCGACAACGAACAATGAACTCACCAAGCTGCGTGATGAGCAAGGAGAGGCTGGCCGCCGCTTGGAGGAGCAGAAGGCTGTTTTGGAATCTGAAATTGCCAGGCTGAAGGATGAGAATGAGCGTCATAATTCTGCCTTCCAGTACCACAAGGAAGATCTCCGCGCGCAGACTGAAATTGCGCAGCATGCCCAACAGAACTACGAGAGTGAATTGGTCAAGCACGCTGAGGCAGCCAAGAACCTGCAGATAGTGCGCTCCGAAGCTAATCAGCTTAAGCTGGAAGTGGTCGAGCTACGGACACAAGCCGAGACTTTCAAGAAGGACCTTTCTCAGAAGGAGGAAAGCTGGAACGAGCTCAAGGAGAGATACGAGGGTGAAATTACCGACTTGCAGAAACGCCGGGAAGAGGTTCTCCACCAAAACTCTTTGCTACACTCGCAGCTGGAGAATATCACGAACCAAATCTCGGCGTTGCAACGTGACCGCGCGAATATGACTGAAACCGATGACGACAATGCTGAAACTTCGCCACCCAACCTTGAAGGTCTCCAGGAAGTGATCAAATTCCTGCGCAGGGAGAAAGAGATTGTTGACGTGCAATATCATCTGTCGACACAAGAAAGCAAGCGTCTCCGTCAGCAACTTGAGTACACGCAGTCTCAGCTCGACGAGGCACGTCTCAAGCTAGAGCAACAGCGTCGCGCTGCTGCTGATAGCGACCACACCGCTCTCAGCCACAACAAACTTATGGATACCTTGAACGAATTGAATCTGTTCCGCGAGAGTAGTGTCACGTTGCGCAATCAGGTCAAGCAGGCAGAAACGTCGCTTGCGGAGAAATCTGCACGTATTGAGGAATTGGTTCAGCAGATTGAGCCTTTGGAAACGAAGGTTAGGGAGTTGGAGAACGTGGTGGAGACTAAGGACGGAGAATTGAAGCTGCTGCAAGCTGATCGTGATCGCTGGCAGCAACGTACTCAGAACATTCTGCAGAAGTATGACCGCGTTGACCCTGCCGAAATGGAAGGACTCAAGGAGAAGCTTACAACCCTGGAAAAGGAGCGTGACGAGGCCATTCAGGCTCGTGACACTCTTCAAACCGAGGCCGCTGCCTTCCCTGAGCAGCTCAAACATGCCGAAGATAGAGTCCAAGAATTGCGCAGCAAGCTTACGGAGCAGTTCAAGGCTCGGTCTAAGGAACTTACCGGTCGTATTAACGCTAAACAGGCGGAGCTGAATACGGTCACACAGGAGAAGGAGGTGATCCAGGAGGAATTGGCCAAGACAAAACAAGAATTAGAGGAACTCAAGACGAGAATGGCGGAGAAGCCGGCTGCTCCTGCATCAGTACCCGAAGCGACGACTGAAGTCAACTCGACTCCCGCCTCGCAATTCCCTGCTCCGACAACGCAAGTGGCTGTCGCCACCGACGACGAACGGGTCAAGGCCTTGGAAGAGAAGGTGCAACGTCTTGAGGCAGCCCTTGCTGAGAAGGATGCTGTATTGGCTGCCAAGGATACCGAGCACGAGAGGAAGGTCAAGGAACGCATCGACAAGATGAAGGAGGTGTTGAACAGCAAGTTAGCAGAGACTCGGGCGGCGCATCGCCAGGAGGTGGAACGACTAAAGGCCAGCCTACAGGCAAGTCCACAAGCTCCTGCGACTCCTGGCCAGCCTCAGGCAGAACCAGTTCCTGCAACTCCTGCAACTCCTGCGACTCCTGCGAAGGAAGGTGGACTCCCGGAGTTGACGGATGCCCAAGCAAGGGACCTTGTTGCGAAGAATGAAACCATCAAGATGATCATTAGGAACAACATCCGTGCGCAGGTCAGCAAACAAATGGAAGCTGAAAAGCGTGGCACCCAACAGAACTCGGAAGCTGCGGCTGCCCTACAGCAGAAGTTTGACGAAGAGAAGGAGGCCTTGAAGAAGGCCCACGACGAAAGTGTGGAGGAGAAGATCAAGGCTGCTGTGGAGCTGTCGGACAAGAAGTCCCTTGCCAAGCTCAGTATGCTTGATTCTCGGTGCAGGAATTCGCAGGCCAAGCTCGACGTGGTGCAGAAGGCGGCCACGGAGACCCCTCAGAAACCTGTTGTCGAGGTTTGGGAGATAGCTAAGGTCACCAGAGCACCCCCGGCTGCTCAAGCGCAAGCCAAACCCGCACAGGCTGTAGCATCTCCAGCACCAGCACCGTCGCCTGCCACAGTAGCAGCACAACCGGCACGTGCAGCCCCTCCACCATCTCCAGCGCCGGTAGCGACACCTGCAGCAAGACCTGCGCCTGCGCCTGCGCCTGTCCCTGCACCTGCACCTGCACCTGCCACCCAGCAGGGCACCCAGGCACCAGAAGCAACAGCTGCCCAGCCATCAGCTCAGGCTCAGACACAATCGACACAATCGGAAGCACCCTCGCAGACGGAAGCACCGCAGACACAAGCAGCTGACGAAACGGCTCCTGAGCAGGGTGCGGCCGGCACAGTGCCTAATCCTTTCGGACAAAGTCAGAACAAACAGCCAGCGTCGCTTCCCAACAAACCTCCAGCTGGTGCTGCCTCAGGCGGCGTCTTAAGAGCTCTCCAGTCCGGGCTTCCAGTTGCGCGCGGTGGTCGAACAGGCGGGCGTGGCGGCGGTCAACAGAATCCTTTTGGTCAACAAGGCCAACAGGGCGCCCAGCAGCAAGGTCAGGGTCAAGGCCAGCCTAGCCAGCGCGGCTCGGGTCTGCCTCGCGGTCGTGGAGGGCGTGGAGGCCAAGGCCGGGGTGGCAATCAGAACGTGCAGACAGCCAATCTTGGCCAGGCACAGCACGGCCCGGCCAGTCCTGGCGGTGGTCGTGGCGGCGCGCTTAGTGCGAACGCGCGTCAGTTTGTTCCTCAAGGCAACAAGCGCGCTCGGGATGATGGCGGCGGCGACGGCGGCGACGGAGCAGCTGGCAAGAGAATGCGTGGTGGTGGCGGTGGTCAACCCCGGGGTTCTTAGATGATTGTGATTATCGATTGTGCTTGTTACATTTTGACTTTTCATTCCTTTTTTTATACATGCATGTACTTTATGTCCCAGTTCTTCGGCTTCTAAGGAAACCGAAGTGAACCTACGAATGTTGTAATCCTTAGCGGGATGAGAATCATACTTTCTTTTGTCTATCACGGCTGATGAGTTGTACATGACTCGAATACCCCGAATGGGTATGATTGTTTCATATCATTAGAAGTCAACAAAGTATAAAATCGAGTAGGCCAAATCCCCATAATCTATCCGGGTATAACCAACAGTATAGAAACACCATGCATCTCGCCGGAAACCATCCGTCAATCCCAAGCCCCGTCTTCACCCTTCTAACTACGACCTTCGAGGGAGCCTCACTCACCCCCTCCTCCGATTCTGCGCCACCAACAGCCTCCCCACAGCCTCCCTCTCCAGATCCAGCACCATCAACCGCGCATCCTCCAACGTCCTAGCCTCCAACGGCGCCTCCCCAGCCTTCTCCCCATCAACCCTCTGATTCTGTGACTGAGACTGTTGATGCACCCCCCAAACCACCCCACGCGTCTCCCTCCTCCTCCGCCGCTGCCCAACCCCTCCCCCACTGCCCCAAACAACCACCCACTCCCCCACCCCCGTCCCCGCCGCAATCTCACAGCCCGCACACACCCGCGCATGCGCCCCCACATCCACCCGCCGATTAATCACGGCCAACGCATCGATCGCCGCTCCGGAATGGATATGTGCGCCTGGGGCGATGGAGACTGCCGGGCCGATGGTCACGCGCGAGGAGATGCGGATGGGGAGGGCGGCTGCCGCTGCTGCTGCTGCTGCGGTGCCATCGCCGGCTGTGGTTGTGCTGGTGGTTGTGGAGGAGGAGGAAGGGGCGGGTCTCGAGTTGCCGGGAAAGGGGGCCGGCGTGCCGATGACGGTCTTTTCGCTGATGATGCAGTTGTTGCTGATGAGGATGGGGCCCTCGTGGGAGTAGAGGCGGGTGCGCGGGTGGATGATGGTGTGGGCGCCAATGGAGATCGGGTGGGTGCCTTGGAAGATTGTGGTGTCGGAGATTTGGGCGCTGGGGTGGATGGCTAGTGGGGGACGGGTTGGTGTTGTTGATGTTGGGTTTGGGTTTGAGGGGCGTTGGTGGTGTGATGGTTGTGATTGTTGTGGTTGTGGTTGTGGTTGTGATTGTGGTTGTGGTTGTGGTTGTGGTTGTGGTTGAGGTTGAGGTTGAAGGGTGGGTGATGGTTTGAGGTGGGTTGTTGGTGGTTGTGGGCGGGGGTCCATTTTTTTATTTTCTTGGTGCTTTGTGGGGATATGTTGGTTGGTGAGATGTAGTGTGTAGAAAGGGGGGAGGTGGTGTCGGTGTGTTTTAGTGGCGTTGTGTGGGAGGATGAATTAGAGGATTGTGTAGGTATGCGTTTGTTGTTGTTGTGAAGCTAAGCTGCGACTCGGAAAAAGATAAGATTGCGGCGATTCGGGGTGGGTTCCGATATGCGGCCGGCTTGCCGGCCTGCCCGCAATTTCAGGAGAGTATACCCCGTAGACGGTCTATTCTAGTTAGTTGTATAGTACAGTAGAGATTCCAGAAGTATAGCTTGTCTATGAAATCATTTAATCTAATCACATCAAATCCCAAACCGGGTATCTATCTAAAAACATTTAACCCATCCGTCTTATCATCTCTACTCATCCTCCCCCTCCCTCTCCCCAACCTCCACCTCCTTCCGAATACCATTCCTCCTCCGCCACGCCCACACCCCGCGATCCACCTCCGCCTTGGTCACCCCATCCCTGACCAGACAAAACGTGACCCCGAGCTCCGTCTCCACGTTCCGATTCCGCGCCTCATCATCGAAGAACAGCATCTCCTCGTACGCGACCCCGCTCGCCTGTTGGATCTTGGCGAAGTGCTGCGTCTTGGTGGCCGGGAAGATCTGGAGGTGGTCGAAGTAGTCCAGGGCGCGCACGGTCTTGGTGCGGTGCGCCGCGGGGTTGTCGCTGAAGGTGGGGATGATGTGCAGCGCCTTGAGCATGTCGCGCGCCAGGTCCGGGGCGTGGGTGCGCGAGGCCACGGCCAGCGGGATGTTCTTGGTCTTGCAGCTGTGAATGATGGAGGGGACGGCCGGGTAGAAGGTGAAGGATTCGTTCCATCTGCGTCAGACCAGAGGTGTTAGTTTGGAGGTGCTTGGTTGATTGGATTGGGGTTTAATGGAATGCGCTTGGGGAGATGGCGTGGGATGCGCTTGGAGAGAAGGAGGCGAGAGCTTACTTGTCTGTGCAGCGCGAGTTGTTGTCGCGGGGTTTGATCGGGGCGCTGACGTGGGTGTCGACCCAGAAGGGCCATAGGGTGTAGTCGAGATCGAAGGCGATGAGTTTGGGGAGAGGGAGGCCGTCGCTGAAGGTTTCGGGGGCGACGGAGGTGTCTTCCACAGGTTGCGTGTTGGTTCGTCGCGTGCGCATCTTGTTTAGATCTGGACTTCCAGAATGAATGTAAGATTCTAGATTGAGGAAGTGAGAATCAGCCTGGGTTAGGGGCTGAACAGGTCTATAAATGCCGTCGAGGTCTATAAAGGTGGCAAATCAAGTCCCTGATTTTTTCGTTTATTCACAAGTACGAGTAAGATGGAGAGGACCCCAGCGAAATGACGTTGGAGAAGCTGGTGGAAATCGGAGAAGGATCACGTGGGGCGGGCGATAAGAATGATAAGCTTGCAGAGTTAGGGCACTCTTTTTGTGTCAGCAATCAAGGGCTGTTGCCTATCTTTTTTTTTGGATTTGTACTTAGAAATAAATGTAAGCCTAATGAAATGAACTATGGACATTCGAAATCAGCCGTGGAAAAACACATCTCAGGTCGGAATCCCACCCAGTCAGCACCAAATCACCACTCAGCATGTCAGGCCAGCAAACAACTTTCCGAGGATAAATCTAGCACACACCAGATATAATTCATTCACCCACACGCGTTCTTCGAACTTTCCCTACCGGTAATCATCACCGATCTCAAATCCGCGTATTCGTTTTTCATCAAACTTGCTTGTTGTCTGATAGACAGACACCATCTTCCATGAGGGAAGGCGGAGATCGTTGCGGACGCAAACCACTTTGCTCGCGCCACAATGTTAAGGGTTTTCCAATTCACAGGGGGAATTCACAGGGGACTGTAGGTGAAGCAGCCCACGGATTCTAGGAACTTCCAGAGTTGCTGGTGAGTCTCCGTGCCCTTGATTTGCACACCATAAGCAACGACATCCCAGTCACTTGCGTAGTGCATGATGCGAGTTTGTTGCTCGAGATCCAGGATCCCATCGGCTCCGACTGCTTCAGCGATGATCCGACGCCAGACTTTGAAAGGAAGATCATAGCGCCATTCCTGTTTGCCAGGGTCGCGAACGGCGTGTCTTCGAGTGGCAGTCGCCGCTGGTTGAGAGGGTGGAGGGACTCTTCTGGTCGTCTGATTGGTGTCAGAAAGGTCGCCAGATGGGATGCGCAGTGCTGGAGGAGGTCCCGGAGCTGCCGACGGCAGGTTGGGAAACTGGAGGTCGAAGCTGACGGCACTGGGATGGAAGGGACCCGAACTTGCAGAGCGGGAATGCTGATCGGTTGCGTTCACTGCAGAAGACTCCGAGATGCTCAAGTTGTTGCGTCGGACTGGGAGAAAACTAATTAGCGGCGCTGAAGTCGGCGGCTGAACAATGCGTATTTGATACGGCGCGGCGTTCTCGACGTGGTAATATGTGGGCTCGCCAGAAAAGCTATCATCACTGTCTGGATCCATGGGAAACGAGACTACCCGGCCCTCGGTCGGTCGAGGCATCGGCATCCGCTCTAGGATGTCATTGTCTTCGCATTCTATGGGACGGTCTCGGTCTTCTAAAAGCAGAGTGCGCGAAACAAGCATCATTCTCAAAGCGGTGCTCCAGATTGTGCTGCTGTGCACGCCGTCAGCCCTGATAACCTCGAGACGTACGCGTTTGCAAACTCGAGTGAACTCGGTTCGCAGTTTGCTCTGCAGCTTCTGCTGGGTAGCACTATCGATGTCTTGACTCGTCTCGCTGGACGCGTCGCTGGCCTCCGCGAAGTTGTTGTCGTCATCACCCTGATCTGCTGCCTCGAATTCGGTTTCAACTTTGGACTCTCGGAGCTGCTGAAGAGCCTCGGCTACCTCGATCATGCGGAGCACATGAGGAGCTAGCTTGTCGTTAGGGCGCCAGATGATGCTTTTGCACGATGCCGCACTCTCAGGCAGCACCGTGGCTTTCCCAAGCACCGGAAGAAAGTTCAACAACGACTCGGGAGCCCGCTGGATGTCGAGCATGGGAATCAGCTGAATGGCACTATGACTCGTCATCGAGACATTTGTGAGGATCAAGTATGGGATCGAGCGAAGGCCACGCGTGCAGGCGAATTTCTTCAATTCGGCGTACGTATGAGCTTAAGACACCAAAAGAACAGCATATCAGCTTATCTGTCTTGTCATTGACATAGTGGGAAGGGGAAGCCAACTTACTATTTTTCTGCTCTGGCTTGGGTAGAGACGGGGACTTCTTCTTCCGAGCGGTGCCTTCGTTCTCTTTACCGGCCATGACCTTCAATCGAGCCACGCCCTCAGCCACGGTTTCTGGGGTCGATGGGTGTTCCTCCTCATCAGAGGCCAACTCAAGCACTTCATGCGCATCGCCCTCGAGGAAATCCAGGTCCGATTTCATGTAAATGCGCGCCAGGTGCTCGACGCCCGCACGACCGAGGGCATTACCACCCAGGTCCAGCTTGCGAAGCACGAAGCACTTCTGGAACGAGTTCAGAAAATACGCCCACTTCCGGACGGCGTCGGGGGTTGTGATTTGGATGTCGTTGTTGGACAGATCGAGCTCGCGCAGATCGCCCGCACTCCGCTTGACCACCTCCGCCAGCATCGGCAGCGAGTCCACGGTCAGCCGGTTGCCGGACAGATGCAGCTCGGCGACTTTGGCCAGTCCCATGGGGTGGTCCCGGTCCCTGAACTCGAGGCATTCCACCAGATCTCCGATGAACTGGGCCAGGCCCTCGTCGGTCAGCACCTTGCCGCTCACGTCGATCTCGACAAAGGGGTCTCGTGCGGCGGATTTGGAACCTGCACCGGGTGGGAAGCGTTTTTTCTGTGATGCCATATTAGGAACTTAGGCTCAGAGATGTCCAGTTGGGTGATTCTGTTGCGCCATGGGGGTTGGTTCGGTTCAAACTTACCAGGTCTTTGGACACGGCTTGGCCGGCCTTGAGACCGCTGATACGTCTCTGTTATATTCATCATTAGCCAGCCTGTTTCCTTTGGGCAGTGTTTGATATAGCATCTGAAAGGGGTTTCTCACCGCTAAATAATTGAGCTTCCCCATCTTGGGGGCCCGGATCTCGCAACTCGATCTGGCAGGTTTGGCCGCAGTCAGCACATGTCTCACTTCCATGATGGATCAATATCACTAGCACAAGCGGAGCCACAGAAAGGATGTCAGGCAAGATGAAAGGGTGCACAAGGTGGTTCAGTGTCATGCTTTCCACCATCGATGGCGTTGCAGGACACGGTCGGGCTCGCGTGCAGGGTGTGCTGCCTGTACAGAAGCAGGCAGGCTATGAGGGATGAACAGAGGACTGCATCAGTAACACAAGGAGAGGGCAACTCAAACACCTGTACAGTCATACAGTGGAGTGTGTTTCTTGGGAGGTTCTTTCTGAAGTGTTGTGCAACTGATCGCGTGGATGGAGGTGGGGGATGAGAACGGTAGACGGTGGGAGAATTAGAGATCGATGGAGATATGATATCTCCACCAACACAGCCAACATGCAGCTCAACGAAAAGCTGGATATCAACAGCTTTGTGGTTCACATACCTTTTCTTGATGACAGGAGCTCTGTGTTCAAACCGCCTGTCCACAAGTGTTGATGTTGATGTGGATAGAACGAACAGAGACAGGAGAGATGAAGATGGTGTTGATGGAACGCGGAGGAAGAGAACAACAAGGATCCTCACATCACAACCCATCTTAATATGGCTTTTCCTCTGGCTTCTCTATCTCACAACATTCACTGGGAGACTCTCAAAGAGATACATCGATGACGCCACAGGGACCCCGTGATCCACCGAATGGATTGAAACAGTTGAAATTGAAAGATCATGCTGCTTTGGAGAGTGAGAGAAGAAATTGAAACACTTTCAGCTTCTTTATGATATCAAAGCTGGAATCTGCTGTCTCCTTCAGCGTGAACACCCATCCTCTGCTACATTAACGCTAGCTATTATTGGGTACGACAAACAAGCAGAACTACTCAGTGCCTTGCAGCAAGCCACAGACTCCCTTTCATCCTCTTACAATAGATTAATGATATCCTTGAACTCCTCCAACAGTGCAGGGTCAATGTCCTCCCAGCCTTTGGGCACAAGGACCTGTTCGGCAGACACAACTCTTTGAAGCTCTTCCGGCGGATTATTCTCCTTGTTGCATTCCTCTTCCAGAGGCTTTCCATCCGACTTGACCCTTTTCATATTCTCGTCATCGCTTGGAGACAGCTTTCGTTTCTTTCCATGGTTTGCATTTAAAGGGGGCTCTTCCACACTGCAAACCAGTGTCAGCCAGTGGTCATCTCCTCGATGTCTGCTACCCTACCTCTGTTTAGATTGGCCATTGGATGAATCGTCAACACGCTCTTCAGACGACGGCAAAGTGTGCTGTACCTTAGTCTTCTCCGTGGAAGAAGGGATCTCAAGCGGTGACTGAACAGCAAGCCACACATCATTATCAGACCAATCGTCATCCAGGTCTAATGTGTCTTCGTCCATCTCGACTTTCTTGCAAGGCCCACCATTGTCGTTCCTCTCATTTGTCTGATTCCCAAGCAACAAAGCGGTAGGTGAAGGGAAATTGCTGAAGGTACCATCGCTAGCCTCTCTCAAGATGTTGTCTTCATGCAAGCTAGGAGACACATCTTCGTTGGGTCTTCCGGTGGACCAAGGTTCCGCTGGTTCATTCTCTGAAGCATGATCTGGACCTTTCTGCCTCAAACCACACAGCTGGGCGCCAGCCGTATTCCCATTCTTTCTGGCCATCGATGCTGCTAGGGTTGTTTGGTTGAGCCCCTTCGACTTTTCGGCCCCAAGGCATGGCTGTTTCTTACTCGCCTTTGGGGGCTTGTCAAGCCCATCTCGACAACAGAAGTGCTTGCACCTACTCTAGTCAATAACTCTTTTATTTAAAAGCATCAAAGCTTCTTACACAGTCTTATCTTTGCAGCGGTGGTTACATGCCCACCTGCCATTCTCCATTGGTGTTGGTTCTTCAACGTCGCTGGTCTTGGCCTTGCTGTCAAAGCCCTTGCTCTCACCCGAGCCATTCTTTTGTGTTTTGCTTTCTAGGGGCGCTGGCAATGTGCTCAAGGACCAATTGTCGTCCTCTATCGTAAGAACAGGTTAGTGGACTTTCATGAATTATGCAGGACGCCGAGCCTACCTTCCTGCAGAAACCCGTCGAACAATGACTCGTCGCTATCCAAAGTGATAACACTTTGTGAAGTGGGTCGCTTCCTCTGAGAATCATCATTGCTATTACAGCTCGAGGCATTGATAAGAGGCTTCGCCGCAGCAGCCTCGGGCCTTGGGTTCGGACGAGAAAAGAATAGTGTCGATGGAAGCTCGGGCCTCAGCACCGCGGATCTCAGTGTCCCAGCTAGCCGGCGTCAGCGATAGACAAGAAGTCTAAGGGGGCACGCATGCCCTCACCTATGTCGTCACACGAAACACTACATGACACGAATTGGTCCCTGTCCTTTAATTCCGCACTGAGCAAGATCTCCTGGCCGTTCGACATCTTACTCGCACTTGGCACATCAGCTTGAATGACTGTCATAGCGGCAGTATTCCAAGCTTACCTGATGCGTCGAAACTCCAGGAGACGACCGTCTGATACCTCAGCCAAGAAGCAAACATAAACGGGACGTTTCAGATAAAAGGAAGGGCACTTGTCGTTCATGAACGCGATCTCTGCCTTGAGACAAATTCTCACCGGCGCTGCCGGTTTGCTTTCCTTCTCAGCTCTTAGTAATTGTTGGGGAGGGACTATGCGTTGCTGCTTCAGCGTACCTTGCCGGTCATCTTGATAGCTACTCGGAGTCTAGGGAAGCTCGCAACCCGCTCCAGCAACTTCGCGCCAAAGGGAGGGTTTTTGCTCAAGATCATGTCAATGCGATGCGGTTCGCACTGTCCCAGCGCCTCAATACTTGTGATATTAGCTGCGGCCAGTTTCCTGACCGCCACGATCCCAATCTGCTCAAGCTGCTTCAGTTGTAGCGGAGAGGTATCCCAGACCTTGGCCCCAAAACTCCTTGCCAGCTCCAGGGCGTTTCGCAAGGTCACCGCGTCCTCAAGGGAGATCTGACAGTCTATGATGCACCGAATCAATCTGTTTATGTGGCTGAAGACGAAATTCTTGTCCTGTTGAAAGACAAATCTTAATTTCTGGAACTGTTCGCCGTCCGGGAAGTCCACCGCACCCAGTTCGGACTGGATCAAAAGCGAAATTTTGTGGGCTGAAAGCGCTATGTCGACCTTGATGGGGAAGCGTATGCCATTCGAGCGGTTGATTTCCTTGTAGAGAGACTTCTCTCCGGCTTTGAGACGAATGTCCAGAAATTCGTCCGCTTGAGCGACGACGGATAGCTTTGGTTGTTTAGTCTCAGCTCTAAAATGCATACCCAACGCCCTTGACTTACTATCTGTGACACAGTAGACTGGGGCTGCAATGTGAGCAAATGCTTCATTGTTTCGAACCGCACGTAATAGCGAGCCATTGCTTCCCCGAAACTGGTTGATAAGAGTCCATCAACTGTGACCAACCCATACTCTTGGAGAAGTGTAATGTCCTTCTCACAGATCTGCCGAAGCATCTCATCTTCCCCATCTTCATCTGCAGTATCTTTCAACTGGTAGTGTGCTGGATTTCTTCTGAGTCTCACGAACAGAAATGTCCCCCCCAGCCACCTGATGGCGGAATTACTGTCAGTCACATTACCTAACCCGATCTCTGCGTTAAGGTGATCAATCAGATTCAGATGCAGACAGCTCTCAAGGCTCTCAGATCCCGAGACAAGCTTCTCGTAGTGAGACTCGCGTTCCTTTCTGGTCATGATCACCGCTGTGGCACTGTTGTCAAACTGTGGTCGACCCGCACGGCCGAGCATCTGCATGATCTCCAGATCGGAATACTCCTGACAGCCACCCCCTTGCCAGCCCACGGTGCCTTTGATGACCACGAGATGGCACGGAAGATTGACGCCGACTGCGAGGGTGGACGTGCAGCATATAATGCCGATATGCCCTTGAAGAAACCCTGTTTCAACTGTGCGTCGGTCAACGGCATCAAGACCAGCATGGTGAAAGGCGACACCAGCGGTCAATATACCTGCTCAAATATTCAGCATCATAGACTGTGGTTTCATCTCTTCTGGGTCAGAACCTACCCTTCAAGTCTTCATTGTGGGCCTCCAGAGGCCTGCTTGCTCCTTTCCATAGTCGGGCAGGAGGGTTGGACATTGACCACAGCCGAGCAAGCTCTTTCGCTGTCGAGACGGCAGAGTTTCTGGTACAGCAGAAAACAATTATGGGCTTCTTACAAGAATGCGCCTTGATCAGATCAGGCAGTCTGCAACCATGACATTAACGAAGACTCGCAAAAAGCGACATAAGTCGACTTGGCTTACTTGGTGTTGCACATCTTGTCAAAAGCGAAGTCATTTCCCTGCGATCGATAACCATAGACGAACTTTTGCAGCTTGACGGGACGAAAGCTCTCATCGAAGTGTTCTCTATGCGCTGGCAGGTGCTGATTTGTCGCGTCGCGACCAAGCCAAGTCGCAATGTCCTCAGAGTTCGGCACTGTTGCACTCAGGGCAACGAACCGTACATTCGAACCATTGGTCTTCATACGGGAAACGACGGCCTCGAGTGTGGCTCCTCGGGCTTCTTTGAGAATGTGAACCTCGTCGATGAGGAACAGCTTGACCAGCTGCATCAACCGTGCATGATCTTTCCACTTCCGGGTCACGCTGTCCCACTTTTCGGGGGTGGTGATGATGATCTGGCTGTTTTGCACGCTCTTCAGCTGCGTGTGATCGGTGTCGCCGGTCAGCTCAGCACACTGCAGCCCCAAGGTAAGGAACTTTCCATGCCAGTCTCGGAATCTCTCCGAGCATAGAGACTTGGTGGGCGCTTGGTAGATCACTTTGAACCTTTCGTCCTTGGATGTAATCATCAATCGGCATATCGCTAGCTCCATAATCACGGTCTTCCCGCTCCCTGTGGGGGCTGAAAGGACGATGTTGTGGTCACTCCTGTAAACGGATTGGAAACACTTGGACTGGATTGCGTTGAAGACCGGAAAAGGGAATATGGCGCGATATTTATCGGGAAGCTCATGCACCGATAGAAGGACAATGCCCCGAACAGACGCAGGGAAACGAGGGGAATTAGTGATCTGTCCTAGCTGTGAATGCACCGAATGCCCAGAAGCAGTAATTGAGGACGACAGTCGTTCAGCACTAGGGCTAGCACAATACAGAGGTTCAAGTTCCGTTCGGGTGTCACTTGGGTATTCCGGGATCCGGTCCATGGTGCCCCGTTGGGTTTGTAGTCTGAGCAAGGGACTCGACGGGGATCTTATTTCTACCCCCGAGGAGCTGGATGCTGCATCTTGAGGTGACACCTGAAGCACGTCTGCCATACCATCAGATTGTCAGTTCTGGATATCTCCGTACCAGTATACTGACCATGAGGATATCGAGCTGCTCGAGGATGAATCATCGACTCGAAGCGATTCAAAGCTGAGTAGTGATCACCGTACGCATTCGGCTGGAGAAGACCTTGTGTCTGTGCATTTGACTGCGCTAGCAGCTCAAGATCTGCTTGAATAATTATTGACGTTAGACCCACGAAGAACACGATTGAAAGTACTATCACAACTCACCAAATGCATCGAGCTCCTTAACATTGTCAAACGGAGGCGTGTGAAGATTCTCAGAAAGATAACCCTCGGGAGTCTGTTGAGCCTGACTGCTGAAATATGGTGAGACTCGAGCGCCCTCTTCTAACGTATGATTAGCATGGTGGTGACGGAACCGACTCGGTGTTCGCAGCAGTAGCTCTGCTCTGCGCTCGGACAAGGTCTGCTGCCTGGGTGAGGGCTTAAACTGATATCGATCACGCCGCATGTTGCCTGAATATACGATACCTCACACCACCGATTGCCACGAAGGGAAGAGATATACCAATGGGGACGGACGAGGCTATGCGGAAAGATATAGAGGATAGGTACTAGTCTCCCCAAAGGAGACTTGGTAGGAGACATGTGACTGCCCACAGAGGCCATTGAATCGAGCCACCCCAATCAGCCACGATGATGTACAATGTCTTGTACATCAGCCTTGTATGTCCTGGATGATGAAAGATAAGCTACTATAGTTTTGCTTCGTATGGTGCAGATGCACGGTGTATAAAAATATGGGATTTGAGATTCCTATCCAGCTATAACCAACAAGGTAGAAGAACGTCCATAGAGTACAAGAAATTGAGGCATTTTCCGTCGAGAACGTAACAGGCATCACCGCTTCTATCCATCCATATTTACTTCCTGGAACCATGATACAGTGTAGCGCCAGTTCAAAAGCCACTATCAAAACACTGGTACTCGCACCCTCGACTCAATGATCCCGAGGGTGCTTCTCAAAGTAACCTCCGCTTGGAGTGCGGCCAGCACTAACGCGTACATGGCCCGGTGATGTAGGTCTCGATGTGGAGAGGCCGGCATCGGACAAGAATGGTGTTCCAGGAAGCTTGATAGATATTTCGTTGGGTGATGGCGAGGCAGGTGAAGCCTCACCACTCTTATTATCCTTCTCATAGCGGTCAACTCGAATGGGGGGCGGACGCAGCGTCTGTCGTTGAGCCTTGACAGGGTTGGCGCTTGACTCCTCACAGAGGCAAGTAGTCACTAGTACTGCGAAAGACCCAAGGAGGAACTACAAGCATACCCATTAGTTCTCATCTCAGTAAGCAAAGGGGATGATCGCGTGATCGCGTACATTTGCAGTGAGTTCAAACTCGAAGAGCCAGGTGCTCGCTAGCGTTGTGAGGACGATGCTTGCAGCCGTAGCAATGTTCTTCGCATCTCTGTAGGCATAGCCAATGCAGAAAGACGTGGCAATACCTCCCAGGGCTTGAATAATAACAGTAGACCAAACGACCCAGTTGTATCCATCGAAGAACCCATTGGCTGCCACTTTCTCACCGTCCAGAAATACGACGCCGATGAACAGTGCAGGGAAGATAGAGTAAACGGCCAGTTGGACATTGCGCACCCAAAGAGAGGTCGCCTTCGCGCTGTCTTGGATGACTTTTTCGAAATATACCCCCGCTAGACCAGAGGCAACACAGGCGCCTACAGTAGCCAAGAGACCAATTGTTCCGTTCAAGCGAGGATTAGCAGTCAGGATATCCTCCTCAATGCCTTCGTAGGTCGCGGAACGCTTGTGTAGATTTTCACGTCCCAGCTTAGCAGCTTTCCATTCCTCCAACGACCGTGGGAAGGAAAGATGCGCAGCTTCGTCAAAGTGAGCCTCGTCGACGCTGCCATTGGGAATTTGCACCAGTGCAACCCCAATCACAAGGAGTACCAGCAGACCCCATTTGCGGAGAGAGATCGACCTCCTGAAGACAAACAGGCTGAATATGGCCGTTACCAGAAGCTTCAGCTGGTACGAGACTTGGAAAGTGGCAGCTTGCAAATTCGAGAGTGCAATGTACTGCAAAGAATTGGCGATCGTATAGAGACAAGCGGGGATTGCGAGCTTCCAACTATCGCCGGAGAACACAGCGGAGGTGAGCGAAAAGAATAGCGACGTTGCGGGAACCGAAGGTGGTGCCGTCTTCGAGACCTCGTACAGGGCTATGGTTAAGGAGATGGCGAGTTTGGCGACCTCGTTGAAGAAAACAGCGGTGGACGTCAGATACCGTCTGCCACCAGCTGGCGCCATGACCCTAGAATAATGTGATAACTACAAGGAGAAGTTTAGCTTTCCGTTACAACTGCAGAGCATTGAGTGACCTGGTGAACTTACCAACACAAAGGCAGTATACTGTGCCGTCAACTAGACCAGAACACATAGTTAACGGGCGTGCCCAGCAAGGATGACGCTGAGCGCAAAGCACAGGCGTGCAGCAATCTTTTAACAAAGGGTAGATGAAGATCTTACTAGGACCCAAGAAGCATTTTTCATGGTTGTTCCCAGTCCTGCAGACCGGCGCGCTGCGGCCTCTCCCATAGTGATGTTAGTCAACTCGTCCTCGACAGCACTTGCGCTGTCTGTGGGTAAGCTTCGAGTACAACAGTAGCAGTCTTATATAAGACTGCCCCGCAGCAATGTTCTCACGTCGCGTAAATTGAAGTAGTTGTAAGCGACTGCGGCGGAGATTTTCTTGAGCGAAATGTGCACGCGTCGGTCGGTTGTCGGAGGGGGAGGGGGTAGCGGGAGGTTGTGCGCGCTGGGCCGTGAGTCCGCCAGCAAACCGAGGCCCAATCGAGTGAGTCGCGAGAAGCAGGTAAAAGGTAGGGTCACTAGTTCGTGAGGGCGAAATGGGAGGGTAGGATATTAAGGTGTAACGTTCGAGTAGAGTACCCTCTGTAGAACAAAGGACAAAGGAAGAAAGGCAAGGAAATCAAGCCTGGAGTGGAGGAGTGAATAAGAGAATAAGAGAGTCCGGGGTATTGTCGAGACGCTTGTTTGGGCGGTGTGGGTCACGGGAGGGAGGGAGGGGGGGAATAGAAAGCACTGAGCAGCTGAGCAGCAGCAACTGTGGCGGTCTAGTCCCTCAGTCTCGGTTCAGTCCATAAGTTACGTAGGGTGTGTACTGCGTAGCTTAGAGGTTCCCACTGCTGCCCACTTCCCACTTTCCAGCCTTCAACTCAATTCTTTAAGTCAACCTTTCGCTAATAATCTCTCATCCCCCCTCCCCTGAGGAATGGCAGCTGACGTCAGACAGACATAGCAGTAACCATTTTAACGTCGATCCATGCTCATCATCAGCGCACACCACCCATGCTACTGCCATATGAACAATTACACATATCCATTCTAGCATCGATTGACGGAGAATCCTTCCGAACAGACAAATCCTGCCTTCGGCACCTTGGCAAGCCACCAAATCTCCAATCCAGGCACCGCCACACGCCCTGTTGTGGTACTTTCCGACGTGCCTGACTACTATTCGACAAGCCCGGCGGGTATATGCCGGCTTCAGGGGCTGCCTCAGCCTTTCATCGCGGACTTTGAATTGGTGCGACAAGCGGGCGCGCCTCATACACAACAAAACACGCTCGTGCAAATTAGCAGCCACAGTTCTTTCGTCTTCTACGCAATCAAACAGACCACGTTACGCATGCAGGAGAAAACCATGGTTCAATATTGAAGTCATTTGATTTGGTGGTACACCGTACCACCCGTTCTCTAATTTCGTCAAAAGGAATATATACATGAGTAGGCAATGAGCCAGCGATCGGTGTTGTTAGAGGATAGTCATCTGGTATCATATCGCCAAGTTTTATACAAGATGACAACAGTTTAGGTATCAAAGGAAAGCAACGAGTGTTCAGGTGGGTAAGTAGATAGTTATGAGATGCATCAAGCGAGTGAAAGATGCAGTATGATCGAGCGTTAAATTGAACTTGTTGGACATCGGTTTCATAAACTCAGAAGACAGCTGAAGTGTTTCCAAGACATCGAGCTTTAGTGGACAGCCGTCATGTTACTGTTCTCGTTGTTCCACCTGATAGCCCAGATAGGAAAGTCGTCGCTCTGGGGCGCCTCGTTCGACTCCTCCAGGATGATTGCTTCGCTACTATCCGTGCGTCTCCTTGAGTGTCGTCGCTGTGATTTGGGCACAGCCGGAGGTGGACGCATAGGCGGCGGCTTTTGCGTTGGAAGGGCCGAGAAACGCTGCAAAGGATGCGTGGGTGTTATGGGAGAAGCTCCGCTAGTGACGGGGGATGGAAGGCTCTCGGAGTATGCAAGACTGGTGCGAGGCGAAGGGAACGACCAAACAGTTTTCTGCTCTCCCTCAGAAGAACTACTCTGAAAGACCAGCCCCTCCCGATCACTTTGCTGCGTGGTTTGGCTCGATATAGCCGAAACTGCCGGGCTCAAGCGTAGGAACGACATATCCGTGCCATAGAAGGAATCGCGTGAAGGCACGGAAAGCATAGATCCCTGATCGGGCTCCGGAACACGGACTTCGTTGAAGAGACTGGGCGTGATTTTGCCTTGTCGCTGTCTCATGGCTTCTAGAAGATGTTCCTCTTGCCGCGTCACCGCAATGACTCGACTTCGTCTATTGGCCTCTTTCTGTGCAGTCATCGAGTTTCTAGTGCGCGGAGCAGTCTTTGACTGACTGAAGATAGGATCTCCATGGAAGAACTCTGGCTCAGAAATCGTGGGGATACCACTTGATCGGCGAGACTGACTCTTCCTAGTGGCTGTTGATGATCTTCCCGCTGACGACATGGAGGGGTTTCGACGAAGAGATTGGTTCCTCTGGCTGTATTGCGATCCACGACTTATGCCAGATATTGGCCGGTCGATTTCTCGCAGCGTGCCTCTAGTAGTATGCGCTGCAGAAGCTGTGCAGATTTCAGGCTCACACTCGCCGTAAGTTGCCACACTGTTTCTCGCACTTGCATCAGAATGGCCCTTGGGGTAGGTTTCGTCGTCGTCTTCCTCTTCGTCCTCTGACGAAGACAGACAAAGAACGCTTGACTGGTTGAGATCCGCCGTTCTCAACGTACTCTTGCTGGTTTTCTTGGGCATTAAACTCTTCGCGTTGGCGCCATTGTGACCAGCATTCGAGGCACGATAAGCCTTTGAGGGAAGGCGGGTTTTAGGAGATAAGTAAGAATCTCTGCTCCATCCGCTCACGGAACTATTGGACGAAGGGTCTCGCGAGTCCTGCTCGGTCGACTTCGAATCCCGTTTTAACACGTGATTGTCGCGGCTCTGAGACTGTGCATGCAATCGCTCGGACGACCGGGCGGTATGTTCCATGTCGCTATACCTTTGCAAAGCGAGGTCCATCTCATTGGTGCGTACGGTCTTCTCAAAGGAAGAATCTGACCAATCTGAGCTTCTCATCTTGTACTTAGTGGATGGTTCTTGAGCGTGGTGGTTGGCTACTTTCAGAATAGATGCCTCCGGATGATGCGGCGTTTTTGACGGCTTTTGAGAGGAAGCTTTGGTCTGGGTGTCTTTCGGGTTGGTAGTAGCATGCTCGAAGGTCACTGAGATGGGCGAAGGCGAATCTACCATCCGCTGGGGGGACAGAAGAGGCGCAGCATTCGCCCGTGGCTTGGGGAACAGCATTGAAAGATCAATCCGAGGCGGACGCATCTTTTTGCGTGAGTCCCTCATGGATTCCTTGGGCTGTTTCAGTCCATGGCGCGGTTCTGCATGTTGCCGCGACTCTGATTTGCGATTTTCGTTGTTTCCAGGGCTGCTAGTTGCAACTCCAAGGGACGGGTTCGAGTCCGTGGCCGATTCCTTGGAGGTAAAATAGGAAAATAAGGCCGATGAGGAGCCAGTAAGGTGAAGTCTCTTCGAGGCTGTTGGTACAGCAGGCAAGGCAGTATCTTCCAATCGATATTCCTGCCCCAACAGCGGGGATGAGGCTCGAACACGGAGATGAGCTGGTGGAAGAGTGGATTCTGAGCCGGCCGTCGGAAATGGAACGAAACTCCCACTCTTTTGTGACTTTACCTCCGGAGATCGTCTGAAGGTCGGCTTTTTCGATCTTCTCTTGTCGTCGCGGCTAGGGTATTCATCGCGAGAAGGGATATCAGCGGCTCCCAAGATCTTATACGCCTTTGAGGAATTCTCGTTCCTCAAATCATCCTGACTCAATGTTTTCGGAAGCTTTCCACCGGGAGTTGGATTCATTTTGGCGATTCTTCTCAGTAACTTTCAATGGTCCGCTGGGTAAGAAGTTTCGATGTCCCGAGTTCATGAGTTCGGTCTGTGACAATTGCAATCGGACTACTTTACTCTCGTTGCAGCGCTAGCTTGGAGTAACCACATAAATCGTCTCTCCATACAACGGTGAAATTGGCACGGAGACTCGAAGCTCAAGGTGGGAGGCCTCGAATCCTTTTTAGCTCTTGTGTCGGGATCCGTTTGTGTCTTCCCCACACGAGCGTAAGTCGGTGTGCCGTCAGAAACTCCTTATTCGCCTATGTAGTTACCGTTTTAGTCACAACGTATTCCGGCTTCAACGTCTCGCTAGCAAATGCTATATGCTTGAATAGGCGGTCTGGAAATCGAATAGTTGCTGGTACCTGACCCTATGAACGCCACAATATGTAGGGGCAGGGGTCCGTGGCATAAGGTTAAAGAAAGTAAGGTAGGAAGGGAAATGGGTCAGAGTCGTGAAGTAGGTGGTTCGACTATGGAAGAAAATGTGTTGCGCTTTGAGAATAAAAAGAAAAAAAGGTGAACGAGTGAAGCTATTGTCCGGAAAAAGTGCAGAGCACCAAGAAGAGGATCCTCAACTGCTTTTGAAGGACTGCCGGTGCAGAAGATTGACCGGGCGCAGGAGGGTTCGGCCGTCAAAGCCAAAAGGGAACAGCAGGCGCTATGAAAAATCTGTTGTAATAAAACAAAACAAAAATAAATAAAGATAAATAAAAAAAAACCGTATATTTAAACTATTAAACGCGGTGCAGAGAGCACTGTAAAACAGTAGTAGAGAGTTACTATCGGTAAAAGGGGTGGGACACTGAAGACAGAAATACTGGAAGGAGGCGCCAGTAGTGTCTAAATCTAGTAGCATGGGCCAACAACTAGGAGGGAGCAAGTCGGGATGAACAACTTCCAAACTTAAACAAAGCTGCCTTGAAAGGTGAAAGGTTCTCTTTTAGCAACTCAAATCGTAGATGTGGAGCATGAGAGCCTGACAACGAGTGTCAAGAAGCAAGCCCTGGGCCATGGCCATCACAATCAGGGGAGAACGAATGGTGAGTGGAACTGGAGCATCGCACAACAGCAGTAACAATCGACAGGCACCCCTCAACCATGGCTCCATAGATCGCTAAGTGGCCGCTAAGAGGGAAGCTCGAGGGGTGGGTTCGTGGATACCCGGTGATGAGAATTTGATAACTCATGATGGGTCCCCGGGGCAAGCGATGCCTCATCGAGGCAAGTACAGGATTCAGAAAGGAATTGGTTTCTCATCGTCATGTTGCAATTGGAGGCCGTTCCAAGCCAGTGCGAGGAATTGTGCCACAGATTCTGTCTGGACTCTGAGGTCGGTCTCTTCTGGGGCCGTAGAGGTCCGTGAGAGACTCAGAGTTCCGGAATCCGAATCAGCGCATGAGGGATTATGCTGTATGTACTGTACATGAGTGCTATACTATCCAAGCTCCGGAGTCCGGAGTCCTGAACGACTAATCTACAATGCAAGAAATTGATTACCT